ACCATAATGCCCCAGAATGACACAAGGTCTGAGGCACTGTAGGTGAGTATAATAGTGGCTGCCAGGAGGATACAGATGCTGATGCCATGGCCACAGACCACAGCAAACATAATAATATAAATTAGTTCAAAAAACAAAACAAACTACCCAATGTAAGACAATGGAATTTCCGTGACAGAACCAGATTGAACAGGAGTTTCACAAATGAATACTGAAAGAAAGGTGGTAATGATGAAAATGACTAGTGGAGCAGAACGGGGGGGGGATGGGATTCTTGCACACACTATTTTGTTTGTTTGTTTGAATCAAATTTCAAAGAATCATAGAATTGCAGAGTTTGAAGGGACTACAAGGGTCAACTAGTCCAAACCTCTGCAATGCAGGAATAGGTAAAGGGTAAAGGGACCCCTGACCATTAGGTCCAGTCGTGGCCGACTCTGGGGTTGCGGCGCTCATCTCGCTTTATTGGCCGAGGGAGCCGGTGTACAGCTTCCGGGTCATGTGGCCAGCATGACTAAGCTGCTTCTGGTGAACCAGAGTAGCGCGCGGAAACGCCTTTTACCTTCCCGCCGGAGTGGTACCTATTTATCTACTTGCACTTGGATGTGCTTTCGAACTGCTAGGTTGGCAGGAGCAGGGACCGAGCAACGGGAGCTCACCCCATCGCGGGGATTCGAACCGCCAACCTTCTGATTGGCAAGTCCTAGGCTCTGTGGTTTAACCCACAGTGCCACCCGCGGAATACTTTGCCTCAAATTTATATGCCACTTTAATGTCCATCGTTTGTGTTTGTGTGTGTGTGTGGTGTGTGTGTACATATAGCCATAAAATCACAATAAAAACAACCTATAAAACAACAACAGTATACCAGTCAGAGTAAATAAGCGGCGCCTACAACTAGGATTAGTGAATATGCTCAGAGTCGAGTGTCAATTTCATGCTCTTTATTCAGCTCATAGTAGCAATGAATGAAACTTTCCCCAAAAGTCTAGCTATATATACATTATTTACACAATGGGCCCCGCGTGACTGGCTAATTGCGGGCTGCTCCTGCAGGCCAATCAGGTCGCTGATTCACTTCCACCTGGAGCTGGATTGGGTGGCTCCTGCGGACCAATCAGACTGCTGCATTCTGGATCCTATTGTTCTAGGATTCAGCTCAGCACATTAGCTTAGCATTTGTGGTCACACTGTGGTAACCTCAAGGTTAGACTACTGCAATGTGTTATAACAGCATGCATAAGAAGAGCATATCAGGCCAATAGCCCATATAATCCAGCATCCTGTTGTCACAGCAACCAACCAGATACCTGCTAGCCGGACAGGAGAGCACCAGCACTGCCCACCTTCAATTCCCAGCTACTGGTATTCAGAGGTATACTGCCTCTGACAGTGGATGCAGAACACACCCATTTTGGCTAGCAGCCGTTGGTAGCCTTAACCTCCAGGAACCTGTCTAGTCGTCTTTGAAAGCCATACCAGTTGGTGGCCATCACAGCCTCCCGTAGGGGAGCAAGTTCCATAGTTTAACTACGCACTGCATGGAGCACTTTCTTTCATCTGTCCCGAATCTCCCAACATTCAGCTCCATTGGATGTTCACAAGTGCTCGTGTTATGAAAGGGGTGTGTGCATTTCTCTATCGACTTTCTTCACGCCAGGGATCACCTTATACATTTCTGTCCTGTCACCTCTTATTCGCCTTTTCTCTAAACTAGAAAAGAGGCTGCCTTTGAAGACAGTTTGGAGAGGGCAGAATTCAGAGGACAGGTTGTTGACTGAACCAGACAGTCTGAACATCTTATACTAATTTTGGTCCGACTGCATTAGCTGCCAGCTAGTTCCTGGGACTCAATTCAAAGTGCTGCTAACTTCTTCCTTAACACCACAGATGCAGTCGATACGCCGCACAACCGAACGAAGTTCCAAGTAGCCTTATTGTACAAGGACAATCGAGTTAGGACTAATCTGAGGAGCTGAAGGACCCTTTAACGGTCCTCCTCCAGCCTCAGCAGCTTTTGTGTTTTTTTTTTTTGTTTTTTTGTTTTTTTCACTTTCTTTAAGTATTCGCCCAGGACGATGTCTACCTCTACCTCCCCACCCCCATTTTATGTTGTTATTTCAATGTATATCATGCTATGGCCACTCGGCTAATGCAATAAATAAATAAATATATATAAAGTGCTGGTTTTTACCTATAAAGCCTTATAGGACACTGATACCTCAGGGACTGTCTCCACCCATATGAACCAACCTGCCCCCTGCCTTCATCATCAGAGGCCCTTCTCCATCTGCCCCCATCCAGGGAGGGACAAAGGGTGGCAACACAAAAACAGGCTTTCAGTGGTCACTCTGCATTTGGGGAAACATGTCTGGTGCCTTCAGTGTCAGCTTTCAGGAGACCTTCCTGTTTATCCAGGCTTTGGGAAGAGTAATTAGGATCAAACTGCCTGTTTGTGGTGTTCATCTTTTAGTTGGGTGGGGTAGGGTAGGCTTTGTTCTTTTTTTCAGTATTGCTGGGTGAGTAATTTTCAGATAAAACCTGTGTTTTATTGGGTTTAAAAACAAACAAACGAACCCAACGTATTTGTTTTTAAATGTTGGTAAGCCTTATGGACTTTAGGGATCTCTAAGCCTCTCTGACATCTTTTTTGTGTGGAAAGTGATGAACAAGTAAATATATAATGGCGGCCAGGGAAACACCTGGGTAAACGGGTATGCATTTAGTTGGCAGAAACTACCTCACCTCAGTGGGAAAGTCATTCTGCATGGTAGGTGCCACAAAAAAGGCCCTTCTCACCACCACCACCAGATGAACATCTCTTGGCTGTGGCATGGTTAAAAGGTCAACACCCTCAGGCCACAGAGACTGGGATTGACTATACAAGAGCAGGCACTCTCAAATAGATTGGTCCTCAGCTGTTTAGGGCCTCAAAAACCATAATTAACACGTTGGATTTGGCTCAGTAGCTATCTAGCAGCTCCTATATTCATTATGAAGTGGCGTAAAATAACTAGGTGAATACAAATATAATTCAAAAGAATTGTCAAACAACTTAATAAAAGCAATCTAAGCGGAAATCCCTTTGCGAAACATACTTTGCAATACAGGTGTGTTGGGCACAGGGTAGAGCAGGGGTCACCAACACGGCACACATAGGTGCCCTTGTGCCCACCAATGCCCCCTATGACACCAGGCAGCTTCCTATGTATCAGAGGCAGCTCTCAACTCTCTGGCACCTCTCCCTGGTGAAATGCCATCTCTGACATTTCTGAAATCCTGTCAGCGTGCCACACCACCAAGCGTTTCCCTGTCCAGCCCCTCCTGTCAGTCTCTTGAAGTTTTTGTGTATGTCACCAAACGAAACACAGGTACAAACCAAGGGCAGCTCATGCACCAGATGGTAAAACGCAGCCCACAACGTGTGATGTGGGGAAGGGAAACCGGAGCCGTGGTCTTCGGTGAGAGAAACGTCCATAGCTACGAGGCGCTACAGCAAGCAGCACCCCCTTTTTCAGATCCTGCACAATCTCGGAAGGCCTAGGAAGCGAAACTGTGGCCTGTGGTGCCCCCTGCGCAGGCCGCAGCCTCTTCCCCCTCTTCCTCCGAGAAGTGAGAGCGTGCAAATCCTGCCTCGCTTAATTGGCCTCCTCGGCGGCGTGGTGGAGGCCATCTCCCCGGTTGGTGACCTTGCTCCTGCACAAGGCGCTGTGAAGAGCCTGGCACTGCTGAGGCTGGAGGGGAGGAAGAGCCCAGGCCCCGTTGCCTGGCAACCACACAGCTGTCTGTTGACCTAAAAGGAGCTGCTCACTCTTGACACAGCTGGTGTTTACATGGAGCCAAATCTTTCTCCTTCGTGTTTGCATGGAACGAAAGCAAGGCACACAGACACAAGCGCTAACACACACACACACAGACACACGGAGTAGACAAAAAGGAGAGAGAAAGAATGTGGAAAACAGAGAGAACAGACTTCCCCCACCCGCGCTGCCCTTCATTGCTAGCTGGAAGAGAAGGTGGGAGGGGGGGAGAGAGAGAGAGAGAATGTGTGTGTGTGCAGAAAGGGGTCAGGGACATTGCAAATCCCTTGGAGGGCCAGATACATCTTTATCCACTGCAGCACAAAGGAATGTGTTGTGGAAAGCACCGTGTGCCTTGGTATTATCTGAGGCTGTGTGTATGCCTTTAAAGCACATCTGAAGCACATTCCCTGTCTCAAAGAATCCTGGGCACTGAACTCTCAGCCTATCCTGGGTTCTTGGTACAGCAACAGAGCAGGCCAGAGGGAGTCAGGAAACCCTTTTGGTCTAGGGTAGGATTTGAGGCCTTAGCACCTCACCTTGGGCCAGAAAGAGACAGAGTGGGGATGCCAGTGGTGTGTTGCCCACCCTGCTGCCCAGCAGTGAGACTATTCATGGGGAGGTACCGAGCAGTCTGCCAGGAGACATGACCGCCCGGCTGCTGCTGGACGGCCCACCACAGGAAGGAGAATCCTGTGAGCCAGCCATCACCCTGCCTCCAGAGAGTGAGGTTGCCCTGGCAACCGAGGAAGCACATAGGCCTGAGTAGGACAGTGAGCTGGCCAAGTATTCATGTGCCATCTCCAAGGATGAATCCTCAGATGCACTAGCGCAAGCAGGCGCAGCCTACTGGCAGGAGTGCCCATTTGCATGCACAGTCCCAATGGGAACTGTGTGGAAGATTGTGCCCAATTCACTCTTTGAAAGGGGGGCAGGTCAGGCATTGGAACAACATCTTAGCTTCTATGTTAAGAGCTCAGCTTCTGAACCAATGCTTCTCAACTATGACTAATATTGTTGTTATTATATTTATTTATATCCTGCCTTTCCCCCCAGGCCCAGATTCAAGGCAGCTTACACAAATTAAAATGACACAGATAAAATTCAAAAACTAAAAACATATAAAAGTTAATTCTTAAAATGTAATTAAATTCTAATAGAATTAAAACAATATTTAAAACACAGACAGTAAAAACAGCACAGCACTTTTAAAAGCCACTTCCTTAAAAAAACAGCTAGTTTCCCAAGGCCTGCCAGAATAAAACATTCTCCACCTGCCAGCAGAAGGACAACAAGGAGGGAGCCAGTCTAGCTTCTCTAGAAGTTCCAAAGTCTGGGAGATGCCACTGAGAAAGCCCTCTTCCATTGGATCCCCAATGTAATGAACTGGCAGCACAACTGGGAAGAGGAAGAGGATCCCAGTGAGGGGTGTAGCCAGGACTGGGACGCACCGGGGAGGCAAGCAGGGGATGGGGAAGGAGAGGTTGGTGTAGGAAGTACTCACGGGGTGAAAGAGGATGGTGAGGGGAGGGAGTCAGTGCAGAGGAACCAGAGCAGCAGGACCCATCACCAGAGCCAGAGGGAAACCCTGTTTCCACAAACACAGTGGGCTCTGAGGTGTAGGGAGCAGCAGGCAGAGTGCTCTAGGAGGCTGAGGCAGGCAAGGGTCCACAGCCCAGCTCCCTAGCTGGCCAGGTGGGGCTCGCTAGCTCTGGAAGGAGGGGTGTGATTCCTCAGATGGAGCAGGCTTAGAACAGGTGAGGGTCACCTGCCTCGTCAAGCCCAGATGCTGCAATCAGCATGCAAACCACCAGAGGGAAGCAGAGCTGAGGTGCTGGGTGTGCTCAACTGCCAATGTTGATGGACCTCGGCTTGGACCCTGGACTGAGGACTTGACATACTGACTGGCCAGTAGGTAGGCCAGGGGTCGGAACACTCACCAAGCATTCCTGTGAGGGTGGTGGGACTGCTAGAAGGGCCTCCCCCAATGATTCCAGAGCTCAGGCAGGTTCATATGGAAGCTTCAGATAGGCTGGGCCTAAACTGTGTGCTGACTTTTGGAATAAAGCCTTGGAGTTTTCGAGCTGAGTGTCCAATTGCTGTGTCCAAAAGTGGGAGCCCAGACACTTGCTGGCTCAATGCATCTTTCAGGGCACTTGGAAGAGAAAGTGATTTAGCACACATTTTAAAATTGATTGTCACAATAAACAGGCTGCTAAAATGGCACGATCAGGTGTGTTGCCCCTTCCTTACCCACGTGGTTAAGTTATGCCCTCTCGGTCTGGACAAGACATAATTAATTGCATTCATATCCTGCCTTTCCTCCCAGGAGTTCAAGGCATCCTACACAATGGGATGTATATTGCCCTGTTCCTTCTGAGGTGTTGGAAAGTCGGTTGCAATTCCTCATGCGGCTCACAGTGGAAGTGCAATCAGGGGCATAGGAAGGGGGGCGGTGGGGGCGGACCGCCCCGGGTGCCCTCACTTAGGGAGGTGACATTCGGTGCGCCGGCCGCCCACAACTCCCAAGCCTACCCCAAGCCGTTGGGGTAAGGGGGGGAGGCTGTTTCACTTTTCTGGCAGCATTCCCCCTTCGTTTTGACAGCTTGGGGGAGGCTTGGCAGTCGCGGGCGGGCGGCAAGCTGAATGTCTGCCATGGGCAGCTCACTGCGCCCCCATGAGTGGCTCGTTCTGCCCCCAGCTGCAGGGTGCGTGCACCGCTCTGGGCACCTGAGCGGCTATTCTGTGCCTGGGAGGGCACCCTCTGTGTCACGCCCCCCCTCGGGAGCACGCCCACCCTGGGCAGGACGGGCATATGCTCCACCACTGAGTGCAATGAACAAACAGGGTTTCTAGCCCTCTAGAAGCATCTTTGTTTTGAATCGTCTCATTTCCTTGTCGGTGATATTTGACAGGGTAGGGCTGCCATACGTCCAGAATTTCCCTGACATTATTGGGATTTCAAAGGCAGAATGGATGTCCAGGGGGAATTCTAAAAAAAGATCTACAACTTTGGGGGTATCCTGGTTTTTACTTGTTGAAATATGGCACCTCTATGATGGGGCCATTGCAGCTGATGGGCTTGGCAGACTTTTGCAAATCTAGGTGACTCCAGATTAAATGGAGGGGAAATCGTCTGGCATTTTTCATACTGGCATTGCATGGGTGCTGTGAAATACTTGCATGCATTGAGGTATTAGGTTGTCTGTAGCAATTTCCTGTTACCCTGAATCCTGGAACTGTCTATGCTGTTTCTTAAACACTGGTTATAACCCTGCTTAGGGCAACTGTTAGACTGAGCTTAAGGCAGCTGCTGAAATTGATTCCCACACCAAAACACCCACTAGCTGAGTGTGAACACCAGAACTTTCCCGCTGTGCCTATGTTTGACGTCTATTTGCGAGCACGCTTAAAAACAAAAATTCTAAGACAGCATGGGTTCCCAGTTACTTATCAGAGAAGGCATTCCCATTATGGGAGTAACTGCAATTGTCATCAGTCTACGCCGCATGCTTCCTGGCTTTTACTTATGCAATGACAGTCAAATGTCTGGTGCTCTGCTCAGCCAATGGAAAGCATCCACTTAACTTCAGGTGTGGGAATATTTTACAGCTTGAGGGCCACATTCCCATCTGGGGACCACATGCCAGTGGTGGGCAGGGCTAGAGGCAAAAGTGGGCAGAACAACGTATGTAAATTTTGCCTTTGTACACTAGGCTGCTTCCTGCACACACATGTCTCTATCTTCCATCCAGGTTAGCAAGAGGCATCATCAGAGCTCAAGGGCACAAATCAGACAGGGAAAAATAGTTGGGTGTGAAGCACAGCTAGTGAGGGGTGCAGCCCAGAGAGAGTCCCAAGGGCCACTCTCTGGGCCTCTGATTTACTTGATGCCAGGCCAGGCATAGGAATGGGAGAGAAACTTGGTTTAGTTTGGATTTTAATACAAACCTTCTTAATTCACACTTCCTGAAACAAGACACGGAATATATTTGAATACACAGAATATATTTGAAATGCACTCATCTCTGAATTTTGCAATGCAGTTCTCCAACCCAAAAATGTGTAGGGGGAAAAACTTACATTATAGGAAAGTTTGAATAACAAAAATGCACAATTGGTAAAAATGAGATACGAAATGCATTATATAGGGGGACGTCATTTGCAAAAAGTGTGCTTATTAAGCCAAATTGCATACAGAAATGTACGTGTCAGGAAAATTTTGCACTAAAATGCTGATGAATTTTCATGAGGAACCTTTTAAAAAATCACAAAGGGGTGCAGAAATGTGGGGAACAAACTTTAAGACTGGGAAAAATGAGAAACTGAAACTGTATAGATTTGTTCTTCCTTATCCACTGGTTATTGCAGGGGATAGCTTCTACTCCTATTCCAATCCCAGATTGTTGGACTGGAATGTTCTAATTTAAACTGTCATAAATTAAGTTCTTTTAAAAAATAGAAAGTGTAACTGACTCTCTTTTTTACACAAACCCCCACACAAAAAACCAAACACACCTCACTGCTTCTCAGTGGACACATGAACATCTCATATCTCAGTCTGAAATGCACATGTTTGGCATAGAGACTAAAGCAATATATTAGTATTTAGAAATAAGTTGGAGTTTTTAAAGCATGATTTCAAGCTTGTTCAGACAAACCATACTTAAAACTAACCATAGTTTGTTGTGGTTAAAATATAACTATAAACTGCGGCTTGTTGAAAACAGAGACAAATGCTTCCAAAGTGCTACTCACTGCTATATCAAAAGAGGAAAAGGGAGGTGGGAGGGTGAGAGGCCAAGGCTCACCAGACTTGTTCCCATAGCACTAATCTATGGCTTAGCATTGACTAAATGGAGCTCCTATGTTCCTGTCAGACAGTTTTCTTGCTTGTTTGATTTTTAAAAGCCTTTGAACCTACAAACATTTGTATTTCTGTGTACCTAGGATGCTTTCTGAGTTAGGTAGAAGCCACCACCTTCTTTCAGGGTGGCTCCTTACCACTTCTGTATTGACAGGGGTTCAAAGGCAGATCCACAGCATACATTCAAATCACATTCAAAGCACATGACTTTCCCCAAAGGATCCTGGGAACTGTCTTTGTTAAGGGTGCTAGGAATTACATCTCTGTGAGGGACAAATCATAGCTCCCAGGATTATTTGGGGGAAGTCATGTCTTTTAAAAATGTACGTCAGATGTGCTTTAAATACAGTCATACCTCGGGATGAAGTATCTTCAAGTTAAGTATTTTCGGGTTGCGCTCCGTGGCGACCCAGAAGTAATGGAGCACGTTACTTCCGGGTTTCGTGGCTCGTGCATGCTCAGATGCTCAAAATGACATCACATGCATGCGTGGAAGCAGCAAAATGCGGTGAAATGCAGTCACGTGTTATGTTTACTTCAGGATGCGAACGGAGCTCCAAAACAGATCCCGTTCGTATCCAGAGGTACCACTGTATACAGTATGGATCTGCCCTCAACCATTCGAGTTTACTATTAGAGAGAACAAGTGGGAACTGCAGCAAAGTTATGCAGAATGGGGTGCTTCTGTTTAGGGTGCAAGCGAGGCATTCTGAATCGACACACCCAATATTGCCTAGCCCCACACCTGAAGTACCTTAAATTTTACCCTTTATTGCGTTTTTATCCTGCAAGGGACTCAAGGCATCGTAAAGGTCTTCCTCTGATTTTTGTCTTCACAACAGTCTATGTGGTAGGTTAGACTGAGAGATAATAACTGGCCTCAAACCACCCATTGGGAAGGTGAGTTTCAACCTGGGTCTCCCCAGTCCTAATGCAGTACTCTAACTGACTACATTGACATTGTCTCCATCTGCCCCCCCCATCTCAACCCTCATGGCGTCCCCTTTAAGCAGGTCAGTTTGTCCTTCTGTGTGGTAGAGACTGCCCTGCTATTCATTGCTACAGAAACCCTCACTTGTCCCATTTTGCCCATGCTGAATCTAAACTCTCTCTCTCCTGTCATTCTTCCAACAGCTCCAGTTTCTCAGTCACTTCTCCATGAAATGAAAGGCAAGACAACTGACCTTGGGAGGCTCTTGAGAGGCTGGGGGTGGAATTGGTACAGTGACACCACCTCCTCTTCTTTCCTTGGCATTCCCTCCACAGTGGCTCAATTCCGAGACAGAGTCCTGGGCAGAGAGAAATACACCAAATGAGCCATAAGGTACAAGCAAAGCATCTGTGATTTGAGGCCAGCGAGGACCAAGCAGGGGAGAGTTTTGGAGGCTAATGCGTCCAGCCCAGACAATTTTGGAACTATTTATTTCAGTTTCTCTCATAGTCTCATATTGTTCAATCTTAAATTCAGTGCTCCATATTTCAACAACAATTTGCCATTTTTCTTTAAATTCTCATGAAAATCCACCAGCATTTTAGTTCACATTTCTCCTAACAGACTTTTTTTTTTGCCTAATATTCACATTTTTGCATCCCCCCCCCCCAGTATTGTGTGCATATATATGCACACTTTACCCTAGTATATGCATTTTTGTAAACTTCATTGGGCTAAAAAAACTGCATTGAAAAATCTGGACAAGTGCAAATTTAAAATGATGACCATGTTTTCCGCTCTCAGATTGTTTTGGAAAGTGCAGTTTAGGGAGATTTGACTTTAAGTGGGAACTGAATTGAGTTCCTCCCCAGTCCCTTCATGGGAGGGGCAAGAACAGAGAGATGTTTCTCTCTCTCATAATATTAGAAATTGATGAATATTAGAAATATTAGAAACTGATGAATATTAGAAACTGATGAAGCTAAATTGCAGGAGATCCATGATGACACAGAAAAGGAAGCACAACTTCACATAATACATAGTTAAACTAGACACAGTGATGTCCACCAACTTGAATGGATTTCAAAGGGGAGCAGACAGACCAGTGTTTAACAGAGGTACTTTAGGGATGCCTTAGTTTTTTTTAAAAAAATGATTTGTGTGCTATCCTTCAGGTTTCCTAAGGGGATGGGCTCTGGCTCAGTGGTGGGGAACTTGCATTGCACACAGAAGGTCCCAGGTTCAAACCCTGTCAGAAACCCTGACAAGCACTGCCTGTCTGTGAAGATAATACTCAGCTAGATGAATCAGTGGTCTGACTCAGTACAGTGGTACCTCTGGTTGCGAATGGGATCTATTCCGGAGCCCCGTTCGCAACATGAGCAGAACGCAACCCGTGTCTGCGTGTGTCACAGTTTGCTGCTTCTGCGCATGCGCATGACATCATTTTGAGCGCCCGCGCATGCATGAGCAGTGAAGCCCAGAAGTAACCTGTTCCGTTACTTCCGGGTCGCCGCGGGATGTATCCTGAAAGAACGTAACCTGAACCGAACGTAACAAGAGGTATGACTGTATCAGGCAGCTTCCTGCATAAGGATCCTGAAGCGAGAGCGGTGGGTGGGGGAAGATAGAGCCCCTGTGAGGTAGGAAATGTATGTGAGCCCCTAACTGACAGGGTGATTGATGGTTACACTTGCTGGATATTCCGACTGATGTATCCTACTGAAGATACCTGGAATATATTTTGGCTATGCATATGGTGTTTCTGGAAGGGAATAGGCTCCCAGGTGCCTCTCTTGTTTTGTCCTGGGGTTGATGAAAGATACTTGGGATATACCTCAGCACCAAGTTTAATTGGACTTATTTCCAGGTAAATCTCTGCAGGACTGCATCCTTAGATACATACGGGGAAAGGGAGCTTTGACTGCAACAACTCCAACTCTAGAAGAGTTGGACCCAGCTCCCATGGTTCTTGAAGTTCTTTAGCTTTAGACAGGACTTGGACTTCAGGCAGAGGACTGTCTTCTGTAAGGTTAGGCACCTGGCCACCGTTTAAAGGCCTTATACCAGGGGTCAGCAACCTTTTTCAGCAGGGGGCCGGTCCACTGTCCCTCAGACCTTGTGGGGTGCCGGACTATATTCCTATGCCCCACAAATAACCCAGAGGTGCATTTTAAATAAAAGGATACATACTACTCATGTAAAAACATGCAATTCCCAGACCGTCCGCGGGCCAGATTTAGAAGGCGATTGGGCTGGATCCAGCCCCCGGGTCTTAGTTTGCCTACCCATGCCTTATACCCTAGTAAGTGTACTTAAGACTACAGTCTTCATCTGCTACCAAGGCCTCTGCTCTGAACAGATTTTGGCTTCCTCCGGGCTGAGCTTTTCAAGCAACCGAGCAATCTAAGGAGGGTTTTGTTATTTTGCATAAAATGGAATGGCAATCTCTTACTTTTTTTAAACTAGCATTTCAGATAATACCATAACAAGAGAAAGAGGGAGGGGAAAAAATAAAACAAGAAAGCATTTTTTTTTAAAGAGCAAACAAAAACTTATTCAAGTAGGTAACCATTTTCCCCACTATGGTGAAATGTAGTTTAATGTTTAAATTATGGTAACTATTCCTAAATGTGCACATATATATGTGTGTGTGTGTGTGTGTGTGTGTGTGTGTGTGTATGCAAATGCACATTTTGTGCAAATCTGTGTCCTCCCTTTTTGGGTATATTTAAGTGGCCAACCTAGAAACAAGCCTGACGCCTTCTCTGAGTAATATTGCAAACTGATTCAGGGGGTGGTTGTGAGCAAAAGAAGCTTTTAAGCCATAGCCTTCACAGATAGACACACTTTGCCCTTTTGCTTGCTTTTCAGGTGCTAGGCAAATAACGTTTGTTTTTAAGGTTTTTTAATCTTCATCCTGTGTTGCACTTTTTGCACAGTTGTTCAGCTCTGTCAATATACATTGGGCCCCAGATCAGTTGGCAACCCTAATTTTTTTGGTTTTTTGGCAGAGCAGTCACAAGTTGCAAAGGAGTAACTAATCTGTGACAGATGATCTTGGGTATGGACTCTTGCACATGGCTACTAAGAGCAGACAGCAAATCGAGTGGAAGTGAGATAAGGGTATGTCATTGAGAGGAAGAGACTGGCAGAGGCCTGATGTGTGGTTCTGCAGCTCCTCCATCTGACTCTTCTCATCCGCCTCACCCAGGCAGCTAAAATCTCCAGCCGCGTCTGTGCCATTGCAGGCAGCCAAGGGGCTCCCAGCAAAGGGTTCATTGTGCTGATGGCGTCTCAAGAGCAGAGCAGAGAGGATGGCCACCGTCTTGCAGCCCCCATTTCTGTACCGGTTGCCAATTGAAGGCTCTGGCGACAACACAAGAAAGATTAAGGAGAGTGGGGTGGAATGGCCAGAAAGTTAATCTCGTGGGCTTTAGGACATTGGAAGCAAATTGGCCGGTAGGAGCAGCTTCTTAAGAGTGGCCTCATGTGCAATTTTTCTTTTCTTTTAAAAATGACACTTCCCGGCCTCTCTTTGTGCACTAGGCTATTTCTGTGAACACTGGATCAATGTGGGCGAGAAGGGCAAAAGGGAGGCATTTGTAATGCAGACAAACAGCATGGCACAAGGAGGTTTCATATTCACACTACAAAAAGATTACTGATTAAGATGAGAGTTAATACTCCATCCACCCTGCTGTTCTATTCAAATACAATGGTACCTTGGTTTACGGACTTAGTTTGTCCCGGAAGTCTTTTCTTAAATCGAGGTGTGCTTTCCCTAATGAGGCCTCCCAGTGCCGGTGCCCTTCCACCATTTGGCTTCCATTCTTAGACCGAAGTAAACTTCGCAAACCGGGACACTACTTCCGGTTTTGCAGAGTTCTTAAACCAAATACAGTGGTACCTCTGGTTACGTATTTAATTCGTTCCGGAGGTCCATTCTTAACCTGAAACTGTTCTTAACCCAAAGCACCGCTTTAGCTAATGGGACCTCCTGCTGCTGCCGCGTTGCCGCCACACGATTTCTGTTCTCATCCTGGAGCAAAGTTCTTAAGTACTATTTCTGGGTTAGCGGAGTCTGTAACCTAAAGCGTATGTAACCTGAGGTACCACTGTAGTTCGTAAACAGGGCTGTTCTTAAACCGAGGTACCACTGTAACACTCAAAGCATACTTTAGTTGTATAATGTATTGTAAGACAATATATACTAATAAAATTATATATTGGATATAATCATATCAAGAACAAGAATATATTCCAGTTGCTGTTCCACTCGCTGTCTCCATCAGAGCAGGGTATGACTAACACTCACATTGTTTGCAAGCAATAGCTCCTAATATAATGCATTTTCCTGTTATTTTTAATGAATAGATTCTTTTTTATGCACACTTCCCCGTAATAGATGCATTTTTGTACACATTGACTGGTTGGAGAACTGCATCGCAAAATTCAGATGAGTGTGAATTTTGAAGGGTGGCTGTTTTTTGTTCTCATGTTGTTTTGGAAATGGGTAGATTTGCCTTTAAATGCAAACTTCCGTATCTGTATAAATGTACTTCATCTATGTGCTGGTGAGGATGTGGGGGGAGAGGATAGGTACTTCGGGTGGACATGTCCCACAGTGGCAAATTTGGGGGAATAACTGTTTAATGAGATACGTAACATTACATATCAGCGTGTCACAATGTCTCCAGAGCTTGTGGTACTGAATCTGTATTTAAATGAGAATCGGGACCTGGTAGATAAATCTCTATTTGCCTCTCCTTTGCCTTGCTGCCCGCTGGCCAGATGGAGCAAGCAGCAGGCAGCTGCTCTGGCTATGGAGGAGTTTTTGGAATGTGGTAAATGAAAAAGCACAGGATCCACCTATTTTCTGCTTGATTCATTTTGTTTTGCTGCCTGTCAGCCACATGGAGCACTAGGCGGCATCTACTTTTTAAAAAAGCTTCTTCTGGGGTGTGGAAAGCATGAGAATCACATGTTGCTCATTTTGCTGCCTGCCAGGTACATAGCAGGCAGCTGCTTGAGGGGATATTTGGAAAGGGTGGTGGAGGAGGAAGAAACATGGGAATCCAGCAATTGTCTTTTTGCTGCTGTGTTTGTTTTGGTTCTGCTTGTATGTGGAGCAGGCAGCTACCTTAGAGGTTGGAACATGAGGGTGAAGGGAGGATGTGGCAATGCTTTCCTGCACTCCATATAACAGAGATTGCTCCCAAACTGTTGGAGTGGGGGGAGCCCAGTGCAGAGGCACCATAATAATCATACCCGCTTTTTCCTGATTATTCTCCTCGTATATCCTTAATTTGGAAATATCAGTGTTTATGTTTAGGTTGCCATGAATAAGGCCCTTAAAAAGCGTTGTGCACAGAGCCCCACCAACCAGAAATCCACCACTGATGAAAACAGCAGCAAATGGCTACTTGTCTAATGTCTTATTGCTGGCTTTTGTTTCCTGCCAAGGAGAGGTACTTTGGGGGGTTTTCTGCGTCAGGTGCCAAAATAGAGTGTCTAGCCTCTGCATCCCCTCCTCATCCTGCAAAATGTATTGGTGTGTCCTTGTTCTAAGGATGCAGTTCTGAGCACTCAGTGGAATATATGTGCCCAGGATCAGGCAGTAATTCCCCAAGAAAACACATTGCTTTTCTCTGACACTTGAAAAAGCAGGCGTGTCTGATGCATGCACAACACAGCTTGGGAAGACGTCCCACTGAATTTATGCCCCTAAACATCCCTAGTGCATTCCACTGCACCTGTGGCAGATGTGGGGAACCTTTGCCCCCCACAGCTGTTTCTGAACTACAGCTTCCATCACCCCTGGCTATTGGCCAAGCTTGCTGAGGCTGATGGGAGTTGTTGTTCAGCAACCACTGGAGGGCCCAAGGTTCCCTAAACCCTAACATAGGGCATCTTGCCTTCACATTGGATGATCATATGCAAAATAGTAAAGGGCTCGTGCACCTTTAATAGTTATGTGGAATGTGGAAATCTGGGGCTTCTGCACCTTTAATAATTATGTGGAAGAGGAAATTTCAGCAGGTTATGCTTGCAGGACAAGCTACATACATCTTCTACACAGGTGGCGGAGCCCTGTTTTGCATCTGGTTACCCTCCTGCCATGTGCATATGAATTGGCCCTGAATCACCAGAGTGATTTCAGGGTTAGGCAGAATGCTGAGAAGTGCAGAACTGGTTGGGTGATCAAGAAACAGTCACTAAATGTGAGCTGCTAAATAGCTCTGATCTAAAAGGTTTTAAGGTCTCATTGCAAGCCCTAATACTTGCACTCTCCAGTGGATATCGTATTTATCAAACTTTGGTCACCTCCAGGCTCATACAATTAAAATACATGGCTTCCCCCAAGAATCCTAGGAACTGTAATTTGTTACAGACCCCCAGGACGTGTGCTTCTGTAAAGGGGTAAACTACAATTCCCAGGATTCTTGGGGGAGGCAGTGCTGTGCTTTAAAAGCATGGCGTGGATGTGACCTTTCTTAATTCAATCCTAAGCAGCTCCTTAGGTTCCCCTTCCTTGCTCTAAGGGAATCTCACGTCTGGTGCAACAGTGAGTGGGCTGGGGTTGTCTCTGCTTTTGCATCAGCTTGCAGAATGTCACCCTGTGGAGGCTAGCAAAGGTGTAGGTAGGGAGAGGGGGTTCAAAGGGATCCTGCATCCATGGAGATCATGAGAGAGCAAATTGTTAAAAAAAAAGAAAAAAAAGCAACTCAAGGCATTTATTTTCCACGGGGGCCCAAATTGCTGGAGTTATCGGTGGAGGCAGAAGCTGTCCACCATTTCCTGCCTTGTGTGCAGAACACAATCTCCTAAGGGAAGGGATTAGGGGGATTATATTATTCTTGGTTATCGCTGAAAGGCGGTGGGGGGACAGCAAAGAAGAAACCTCTGTTGCTGGGAATTCTGCCTAATCGGAGCAATTATTAGCTCTCCTCTCCCAGCTCACTCAGCAGTGCTGCTAGGAGGACATCTCTGACAGGTCCGCCTGCTGCCCATTTCCCTTCTTTTCAGGAAGGGAACGTTTGGTTAAAGGAGACCCCTGATGCAAGAACAAAAGGGGGTGGGGCATTATTCAGGCAGACCCAATTATGATCAAGCACATTCTGTTCTGATGTAATAAGAAATAGGATGAAAAATCATACTACAGATGACTCTGATTTTTCTGCCTGTTCCAATCCTGGAGCAATGTTGTGATGCAATGGCGAGGGCAGCTATCCAGGGGGGCTGTGTGACCCAGCAAAAGGATTGTAAGAAGGCACCTTATTCTGTTCCCTGAATTTTGTCGCAAGCAGCACTGTTTCCATGCCACTACAGTTTGCCTTCTGCCCCCAAAATGTTATTTGTCCCATAATGTACGTAAATTAGTTTGTTCCACCTCCATTTCAATACAAACTAAATGCAAATAGGGGGGAGCAATCAATTAATGTCTTGTTGGTGGAGTGAAAGCAGCAATGGCAACCAGTGCCCATCAAATTTGCTGGACTGATTTCCATTCCAGACACAGGCAAATAAGTGAAAATTGACCATTTCCACTCCTCTTTCTGTTTTCGTTGGAATTCTCTACATTTCTACCGAGCCGTAAGTTGTCCTTGGAGTGGAGAGCAGAAGAGAAGCACACTCTGGTCCCTGCCAGCAAAAGGAAATACATGACCCCCACCGCCAAGCTGCAGTTGGCTTCTCTCAAACAAGGATTTTATTGGGTTGCAGCAGCCGGTAACACAACTGCACATTTCACATGGAGCAGCATTTAAGGCTCCTTTGAATTTTTAAGCATACCATGTTATAGAACCATTATGATTATTTAAGACTTTTTATTCTTTATTTTAATGTAGAGGTTAGAGCTCTATCTTCCTTGGTCTAAACAAAACAAAAACAAAAAATCAGCAGAATGTTGCCTCTTTTCTCTCCTGAAAAGTAGCCTATCAAGCTACTACTGCAATCCTGTGGCAACACCTAACTGGGAGTAAGACCCATTGAATAGACTGGGGTTGACTTCTGAGTAAACATGCAAAGGAGTTTGCTGTAAATCAGCCTTGTGAAACGCTCACAGAATGGGAGGGGAAGCCCCTCCCCTAGTGGTATAGCCCTGCTAAAAACATTTGTGGTGAGGCCTGCTAGTGGTGCAGCAATAAAACTGCTAGCCCATTTGCAAAGCTAAGCAGGGTTTGGTATGGTTTCAAATTGGATGGGGGATGGTGTGTTGAGATGCCTGCATTGCAGGGGGTTGGACTAGATGACCCTCAGGGTCATTTCCAACTCTACAGTTCTATGATCTAATAATTTGTGAAGGCTTTGTCTGTCTGCTTGCCAGGCAACTGCTACTTCAGCTGCAAAAGTTGTGTCTTGCTACAGAGGGCAATCCTCCAATTTGAAGGGATGCTAAGGGACAGTTTTCTATTTGTAGGCATCCTAACTTTTATGGGGAAGGTACGTAGCTCACTGATTAGAGAGTCTGCGTTGCATGCAGAAGGTCCCTGGTACAATCCCAGGCAAGTTCAGGTAGGGCTTGCAGAGATTCCTGCATGAAACCCTGGCCAAACCGTGTAGACAGTACAGTGCTAGTGGTCTGACTTGGTACAAGGCAGCTTCCTCAGTTCCTATGAAGGGGTGTCTGGTTCAAGTTTGGTTTAAAGATAAAGAACTGCATGGTTCAATCTGCAGTGTCTCAGATAAGCCTGAGAGTTTCCTGCCTGAAACCCTGGAGAGCTGCTGCCGCTCATTGTGGACAATACTGAGCTCAACAGAGCAGTGGTCTGGCTCAGTACAAGAGCACTTCCTCTGTTCTTAAGAAGGGAGAGCAGGAGGGGATTTTCTGTCGCCCATCAACTATTAGCACTAGGACAGCAGGCTGAGCAGACACCTAGGATCCCCACTATGGTGAGAACTATTTCTATCAAAATCATAGTGATGTATACATTTGCATCTATTAGCACATGCAAATGTTATGTAGATCTCTTGTCCTTTTGTCCTCTTCTTTTGGTGATACATTTTGTCTTCCTTTTTTGGACAGCAGTGTATGCTACTGTTTAACCAGGTGAATGTATATAAGGAGCCAGACTTCCAGTTACTGCTGGAAGGTTCTGCGGTGGTTCTGGATATCCCAGGTGAGTCTTAAAGAGACAACAGATAAATGCTTCTAGAGGGAAATCACTGACCAAGGTGTTGGCTGTTTTTTTTTTTTTTAATCAAGTTCATGAAAGGACTGCTGCTCTTTTAATAGACACGTGACAGGCAGCGCACCAACAGGTGAAGCTGCCCCTCATATCCTTGCGTCTCTATGCTGTGCATAGCTGCGTTTGTTGGAATGCTGCATCTCACGTAGACGTTAAATCATTCTCTTGTGGGATTCACCCGGCTGGGAGAGCCATCTGCAGTGTGAAGTGCAAGAGAGGAGAAATTAGGACAAGCGCACTGCGGCTTCACTTGGTTCCTCATTCTGCCAGAGGCGTTTGCTCTGGACCCTCGGCTCCCCAAAATGAGTTTTGCAAGTGAGGAGCAATTACACTCTCTGGTGGTGATACCAGACCAGATCCAAGCCGGGGATCTGATCCTCTTCCTCCTCCTCCTCCTCCATTTTGTTTTGTTTTGGGACTAGGCCGCCATGAAGCTGGAAATGTGGTTTCCGCCTAGGCTAGGAGTGCCACTGGGGGCCATTTTGTTTGTTTGTGCTTACGACTTCCCTCTTGCTGTGATGAATGATCTGCCGTGCCAGAGAGCTTCCAAGGCTGCAGCAGCAGAAATGTTGTTTTGTGTCAGCTAGAGGACTGCTGATCATACCGATCAGGGCCAGCAACCTCTCTTTCAGGCCCTTGCAAGCTGCGGGAGCAGCAGGCTTTCATGTCGCCTGAGGGAAATCCTCCAGCCTGTGCTAGCAAAGGTCCTTCAGTAAACTGCAAATGAGGCCGCCTGTCCCTGCTCTCATTAGTCGGGGCCCTTCCCACACTGTCGTTTACAGATCTTCCAAGTGTCCCTGTTTTGCAGGGACAGTCCTGGATTTATAGAAGTCATCCCGGTTTCTCATCTCATCCTGGAACGTCCCACTTTTCCTTAGGGTGTCCCTATTTTCACTGGAGAACTGTTGGAGGGTATGGAGTTATCTGACCCCCGAGCCATCTGAAGGCAGCCCTGTATAGAAAAGTTTTTAAATGTTTAAAGTTTTGTTGTGTTTTTATATCTATTGGAAGCCACCCAGAGTGTCTGGGGCAACCCGGTCAGACGGGTGGGGTTAAAAAGTAAAAAAATATATATTGTGGAATAGGACGTCCCTATTTTCATCGGAGAAATGTTGGAGGGTATGCAGTTAGTTTGGGCAAGAAAGCTAGGACGCAAGGAGAGCCGGACTCGCAAAACTGAATCAGAGTTGCCCTCCAGATGCTGTGGCCAGTGGTCAGAGATGATGGGAGTTGTAGTATAGCAACATTTGGAGAGCACCATGTTGGTTACCCAGTCTCGACCAGTGTTCTGTTTCCAGTAGGGGACAGCGACTGTCAAATGCTTCTGTGACGCTCGCAAGTGGGGCATGAAGGCAACAACCCTTTGCTCCTGTTGACTCCCGGCATCTCCTACTCGGGAGTAGGCTGCTTCTGAACATGGAGGGTCCGCATAGCTCACAGCCCCTTGATAACAGGACGGATGCCTGTTGTATTACTATAACTTCCCCATTAAAAAAAATAAGAACAAACTGCTTAAGAAAGACCAGACACTGCACAAATTTGTGCAAGCAAACCAGGATGAATGCTCAATAAAGTCTGGAGGAGTCCTGGGTTATTTTTGTTTTTCCTCGGTGACCTTAGGAAACCCCAGCAAGATGTGGTCCAGCAGCCCTGGGCTATTGACAGCCAGTCTCTCGAGCGCTTACATACATCTGCACCCTGTAGGTAGGACACAGCCTGCCTTGCCAGGCTTAGCAGCCAATCACCAGCCAGAGAGCCAGACCTGGAAGGCATGAGATTGCGGCGGGGTGGAGGGGGGGCGGCATCACGGAGAGAGGAAATGCTAAAACACCCACATGCAACCCAACAGAGAGAGGGAGAGAGGACGACTGAACGCAAAACAGCCGAGCCACCCCCCCCCCCCCCGCCAACCCGGCTTCTGTTCCTTCAGTTCCCTAGTTGCCTCTTTTTTTCTCACCTGACTTTTCCTTCCACTTGTTTGGCCAGAGCAGAAAGCTGAAGGCTTGTCAACAATGCACACACGAAAGCATTCTGCTTTGTCCCTGTGCAGCCTGGGCTCCGGGCAAGAGAAAGGAGAAGCTACCAGAGACACAGAGGCAGTTTACTGAAATAGAAAGAGGTCCTTTTAAACACCAGGTTTTAATTGCAAAGCTTCCCTTCCTTGGAGAAATGTTTTTGTTTTTGTTTTGCGTTGGTACTGGTGACATCACTGAAAAAACAGGTAGGGGCAGGTGTGGATTTTTGAAACAAGGAAACAATGGGACTTTGCAGCCCCAAGCGGAGTGATTTTGTCCGCTGTTGGCTGAGGAAGCTGTCTTATATCCTTGGTCTATATAGCTCCATATTGTTTACACAGACTGGCAGCAGCATTTCAGGCAGGAGATGTTCCCAGCCATACCTGAAGATGCTGGTGACTGGACCCTCTTGCCTGGGAGTGAGTCCTGTTTAGCTCCATGGGACATACATTGGTGTAGATATGTCTATAGACTCACCATGTTAACTGAGATATAGCGATGTGTATTTCTTTATTTTTCTTCTAGGCTGTTTGTTTAAATACTTTGCCTATCTCTGGGCCTTATTGGGTAGGGAAATAATAATCCACAACAAACATAGCTAATAATGCCATTTAAACAAAGGGAAGGCAGGTAACACCTGATAAAAATCTGTAAAAAAAACCAAACCCTCAGTCAGTTTGACCTTGCTCTGAAAAAGGCTATTCTAAATAGCTCAAGTCTGACACCTGGCTTGTCCATACCAGAGCAAAATGCGGATTTGCGGATTTGCACGTGCTTGTTTCCCAATTGATGTGAGGATGTCCACATGATGTCTTCCCCATGCCAGAATTATCCCAGACCAGTTCCCCCTTTAAATGTGGGGGTTTTTTCAATCCTTGGAAAGTTTGAAATGGCCAGGATTGAAAAACTCTGCATTTAAAGGGGAAAATATCAGGGACAATGCTGTGGCGGCAAGGACGTCACATGGACATACTTTAAAATGGTGAGACAGGCTGGTGCAAATCTATGTTTTGCTCTAGGGACAAGCCCAGTGTTTCTGAAAAAATGCTCCTGTCTGGGGTGTTGGGGCAAGAAAGAGGAATTAATCTCGAGTTGTTATATTGTAGTTTGAAAGCACGTCAAAGTGCAAGTAGATAAATAGGTACCGCTCCGGTGGGAAGGTAAACAGTGTTTCCGTGCGCTGCTCTGGTTCACCAGAAGCGGCTTAGTCATGCTGGCCACATGACCCGGAAGCTGTACTCCGGCTCCCTCGGCCAATAAAGCGAGATGAGCGCCACAACCCCAGAGTCGGTCACAACTGGACCTAATGGTCAGGGGTCCCTTTACCTTTACCTTTTTACATCCCCTCCATGTGCTTTTAACACGGGGCGTGGGTGCTTTCTGCTCTTGAGTTGTGATATCAGGCTGGAAGGAGGCAAATAACTTGGGTAAGGCTGGCTCTGTCTTGAGACAGATTCCACTGCCACTCCAGTTGTTGAACCCTCTCTTTGGAAGTCTTTGCCCAGAGAAGTGTGTCTGGCACTGACTGTCAGAGTTGGTACGGTTGGCCATCTGCGATGGGTCCACACTCCAGCCCAACTAGTTGTTATTATTATAACCTTGGTGTCTCGGCATTTAATCTTTTATTTGTGTTAGGTTGACAGAAAACCCTAGAAATGTTTGGGAACTTAACTTCCGGCTAATTGTTTTTATTTTAATCAGCAGCGGTGGTGGCTGGTGCCCTTTAGGACTGGTAGGGCAGCCAACAGAACATTGAGCCAATTGCTGGCAGAGCCAACTAATTCTTCTTTGGTCCCTGTCTTCCTTCCTGGTGAGTTCTTCAAGGCCAGCACTGAGAGTAAGGAGGCCACCTCCCTGGACTGGTTTGTAAGTAAGAAGGCTTGTGCTTTTGTCATGCGTTCAACCTGTGCTTAATGCAGGATGATGGAATGCAAGAAGCCACAAGCGCCCTTGTGCAAGGATTTACGATCGTGCACCACAATTTCCCCTGCTTCATGCCTCCCTCAAATTTATTTATTTATTTCATGAAATTTATATACTATTTGGTTGTTTTCTTTTTAAAAAAAACCTCAAAGAGGTTTACAAAATAAGGGGAAATGAAATAATAATAGCATATATCAAGCACAGGCAAACTCTGGCCCTCCAGATGTTTGGGACGGGACTACAATTCCCATCATCCCTGACCACTGGTCCTGTTAGCTAGGGATGATGGGAATTGTAGTCCCAAACATCTGAAGGGCCAGAGTTTGCTTATGCCTCGCATATATACCACCCACGGACCTTTTAATTATCTTCTTTGACTATATGAAAGAACTAGTGTTGGTACAGGATTAAAAAAAATAAAATTAGTCCAACATTTGCCAACTTCTTCTACAATAACCGTTTGTTACAACGGGGGGAGGGGGAGGTGTTTGCAGGGAATGGGAACACCAGCTTTGGAAAAATGGATTATTGAAGTGCAGGAAATTGTAGGCTTGGTCAACTTAATGAATACAGTAAGCGTCAGAGGAGGAAGACTGCCTGAGAATTTATTCATGGAAACAAGGAGCACTTTCACATTTTTGGGGTACTGGATAACATTGGCCCCGTAGACACTAATAGGAACATTATGTGACTATATGTTGGAAATCTAGTGGTTGTGTGTATGCTGCTGGTTTTATGTATGTAGTACAGATTCTAAATATTGGTATTTAATCAATTAAGTGACAAACTCTTCCCTTTGGACACTTTCCCAAGTGCACCCAATAAATTCTTGTTCAATCAACAACCCTCCTGCACCCACTTGGTGGTGGTTCTTATCACACACCCCATGGAGACTGAAAGGAGCTGCTGGTCTCCACTGTGGTCTCCCAGACCCAGGAGCTCCAGGGTCCAGCTGGAACAGACAAGCACTATTTTAATACTCCTGCTACTGCATGGGATCCATCTCCTCGTTAGGAGGGGATGACAAATCCTGCAGAGAGCCCCTCCCCAACCCCCAGCATGCGTGAGAGAGGTTCCCAGTGAGAGAATGCATTCGCCCACTGAAAATGGATTTATCTTGCTCCCGTTTCCCTCTTCTTCTCACTCTGCAACGACCCCCCTCCTGCCCTTCTGCAAGCTGCAAAGTTTTCTGGGCTGTCAGCCGAATAAAGATTTTTTTTTTTGTCAACTAAACATGCTGCATTTTCAGCAACAGTTAATCCATTCATTGACTGATTCAGACAGCTAGATGGGCTTGGACCCAACAGCCGTAGGAGGAAAGAGACCACTAGATACAATTCAGGATGGAGATCCTGTCTCTTTAATAGTTGTGTAGGAGAAGGGATTTTGACAGGGCGTAGTTTATCACATCAGTGCTGCAAAGGTAAGAAAAGCTCTGCCAGAATTCCATATTCTGCATAACTAGGTGAAGCACCCATGATATATTGGTGTTTGAAGGAGAAAATCTCCCCATTGTGCTAAAAATATAACAATCAACAAAATGATTGGCAATTTCCTTTTGTGGTGCCCTAGGATCTGCCACCTAGAAACGCCAGAAGGCATCACTTTCAATTTCATCTTCTATCTATCGCCTGCAACACTGCTTGTGTTCCACTGCAGTTCAGTTTCCAGCAAAAGCTACGTTACTTGTCTCACTGCTGGCTATGGCGAAATTTTACGCAATCATGTTATCATTACATTATGATTGCCTTATTCCTCATCATTTTTATGCATCATTTGTGGACTGACGAAAACTGCAAACACTGATTGCTTGGTTTCCGTTCTGAACATGGTGCAAATAAGCCAACATTGACAAATTTCGCTCCCATTTCCATCAGAATCCTCAGGTATCCCAACAGCCTCCTGCATTGGCCTGCACTGTGGTAGAACTTGGCTGGGAAAGGGAAGCCACTTCAGGCAGGTGGTGCAACATGCAGACCGGAGTGGGAGAAAGGGAAAGAGAACTGCAGCCCCATAAATAGCTACTTAAGAGAAAAATGGAGAAGATGGATATGAAATGAAGCTGGGGTGTTCATGTGCTTCACTTTACAGAGCACAGAATTTGAAGCCCTTCTGCACGACAGTCTTCTGTTTGAACAGCTGTCTGTTTCAATATAATAATAATAATAATAATAATAATAATAATAATTATTATTATTATTATTATTATTTTATTTATACCCTGCCCTCCCCGGCCAAGACCGAGCTCAGGGCGGCTAACACTGAATGTAACTACAGTAAAAACATTTTTAAAAAAACAAAACAAAAAAACCAGTTGATTAAAATATAAGTTAGACTACAGTTCAAGGCTGGTTTAAAGATTAGGAACCCTGAGTAGGGAGAGTGAGGACGGCTTGATGTCACCCATCAACAGAGAGCACCTGGGCATTAGACTGAGCGAGGCACACCGTGCTCCTGGTCACAGTCTTTCTCACTATGGGGAGATGCATTGTGTTTCTGTTTGAATTGTGGTAACTGTCTAAATTCGCCTCTCTGCATGTAAGTTAACACAACCTATTTGCCTGTCCATCTCCTTTAAGCACAGCATAAGTTGCTACCCTTGGAAAGGGCTCTGTCATCTGTTTTTTCTTTGCTTGCCCATGGACAGTGTGGGGAGAGAAGGCTTGAAAATGGGACAGGTCATCACCAAATAAGTGCACAGCTTTGGCAGGCTCCCCACAAACAGATGAAAACGCAGTGCCAGTGTCTGGCACGACAGAGAGGGACCTCCTGAACAGCTACATCCTGTTCTCTTAGGAGCTGGACCACCAGAAGGTAAATCTCCCGGTCTGGGGATTGCCAGCCATGTAGACCTCTAGGCAGTGGCGGAGCCCTAAATGGCTTTGGTCCAGTATACCTGAAGGAGCATCTCTACCCCCATCGTTCTGCCCAGACACTGAGGTCCAGCGCCAAGGGCCTTCTGGCGGTTCCCTCACTGTGAGAAGCCAAGTTACAGGGAACCAGGCAGAGGGCCTTCTTGGTAGTGGCACCCACCCTGTGGAATGCCCTCCCACCAGATATCAAAGAGAAGAACAACTACCAGACTTTTAGAAGACATCTGAAGGCAGCCCTGCTTAGGGAAGCTTTTAATATTTAATAGATGATTGTATTTTAATATTCTGTTGAAAGCCGCCCAGAGTGGCTGGGGAAACCCAGCCAGATGGGCGGGGTATAAATAATAAATTATTTTTTTTATTATTATTCACGCTCTGGCACCAGGGGGCGGATAGCAGGCGGGGGCACGGCTGGCACGTGTCCCGGGGGCATGGCGCGTCGCCTGCAGTGGCTTGGTGCCCAGCGTGGGCAGGGGGACAGCCACAATGGCACCCCACCGGGATCGCGCTGCGGGGGTGGTGCGCTCCCCCTGCACTCCTTTTCCTCCGCCAGTGCCTCTGGGCCACTAAATATAAGACTGTGAATCTCCTGTTGCTCAGTCGGTAGTCCATGGACCAGGCTGGAACAGAGGAACATAGGAATCTGCCTTCTCTCAAGCCAGACTATTGGTGCATCTGATTCACAATTTTTGATGCTAGCAGCAGCTCTCTAGGATTTGAGGCAGGAGGCAGGGCTGTTCTTGTGTTCTTACAGATGCTGGTAGAGAATCTGCTTGAAGGCAGATGATCCCAGGTGTAATCCTTGGTATCTCCAGGTCTGGCTGGGAAAGCTAAAGTCTCCATCTTTGCCTGGGCTCCTCCAGGTGGTGGGCTTGCTTGAGTCTTCCCTAATATAGAAGAGTGTGTATGCAGCTTCTGCAAGCTTAAGCCCAGCAGGACTGCAAAATAGAGTAGAGTCACTTGGGAGAAGGGGGTTGCCCTCTTTCTCTCCCCTTTCCCAATTAACTTCTATCTCTAGGGACCCCCTCCATGACATGGAGGTACTGAGGATAATATCTTCACTGATGCACAGCTGTCAGGGTTGGAGTCTGCATCCAGCCGGACCATGACAACAGGAAACTGAGGAGGTGCTACAGAAACCTGCTAAAGGTCAGAAAACTACAAGAAGAAAGCAGTTGGAGGGAATGATTCATGGTTTTATTTGTCTCTCAATACCTGATGGCAAATGCAACCTAATAGACACTACTGAAACTTGGTGGAATAAGACTCATGACTGGAACATAGGAACTTGTGAAGAGATCCGTGACCTGGAGCATGGAAGGCAGATTGAGAGTAAATGTGTAAAAATTAAAGGATAAGGAAACAGTGATCTTCCTGTGGGTGTCTACTGGGGGCAGCGGCTCTCTTTTGCTGGAGAGTGTGTTTAGCCCCATGCTTTGGATCTAGGGATCCAGCCAATTCTTTTATTAATTACCACGCAGGTGTTCTATATCTATTATTACTACCCACCCCACAAAATGGTTCTCATTCAGATTTGGGATAAAAAGCAAGGTTGGCTTGTGTCTGTGTCTTTCTTTCAACCCAGATGCTCAAACGCAGAGCCCTGCTGCAGAAGATAATCAAAGCTCTTTCAGCCTGTGCCCTTTCCAGGCGGCCAGAGCTGTCTTCCAAAGTCTTTTATTTACACTTTTATGGCTCTTGTTTTTGCAGTGGCAGCCTCTGCTGGAGCCCTGAGCAAATCCTTCAGATCTTGGCTGGTGGCAGAGATCCACCTAATCATAGTCATTATCTGGTAGCAGGTAATGGGCATCTTTCCCCGTATTAATTTTGAGAGGGAAGACGAGGGAAAGCAAGGCACTTCTGGGAAAGGGAGGTGCTTTTAACCCTCCCTGGGATTGAAATTCTTTACCTCCTACTCCTTTATCTCCTCTTTTACCACCCCCCTGGAAGTTATGATAAGAAAACATTTATACTTGATAAGACCAGAACCATTATGAATAAGATTTGGATTCTTTCCCTTCCCAACAGCATATTTGCTTGGAGTTCCTCAAATTTTAGGCTCCTTAGGCTGCGTACACAGCATACATTTAAAGCAAACTACATTCCCCTCTACCCAAGAATCCTAGGAACTGTAGTTTAAGTGCTGGAACTGAAGAGTAAACTGCAGTTCCCAGGATTGTTTGGGGGGCAGCATGTGGTTTAAATGTGCTTTAAATATACAGTGTAAATATGAACAAAAGTCTCTGCATGCACACCATCTATTTAAAGCACATTACTTCACCCAAGGAATCCTGGGAACTCTTGCTTGCTAAGCATTCTGGTCGCTCTGTGAAGGGCAAACTACAGTTCCCAGGATTCTTTGGAGGAAACCATGTGCTTTAAGGTGTGGATGTGAACAAAAACATCTTAGAGCTCATCCTACCTTTAGGCAGAGGGAGGGGGTTGCGCCAGTCAGGTGATTTGGGGTATCATGAAAGGGCAACAGATCGTTATTTATCTAATGCATCATTACGGTGTTTTGTTTCATTTTTACTGTTAGGGAGAGGTGCCAAAATAACATGCATAGCCTTAGGTACTGTGCATCTCCTCCTCATCCAGCAAAATGTAATGGTCTGGCCCTGCAGTCCTAGGCACTCAGTGGAATATACTTCCATGTAAACTTGTGGAGGGTGAGTCTTTTTGGGAGGAGAGAAGGCACAGAATCCTTGTCAACCGCTGTGTTTGCATAACAGGGGTCTGTGGCTTAGGGCAGCTTTATAAAACCCACCAATGTTACCAGACTGCAAAGATGACAAGCCTGCTAGGGGCTAGCAGAGGAAAGAGAACTCTGCCTCTCATCCAGCGGACTGCTAAATTTCTCCCATGGAGGGTGAGAAGGGGGCTTCCCTCCCCTGTGAGAACTAGATGGGCCACTGGCCTGAACCAGCAGCCTCATTTTATGCCTTGAGCTTTCAGTTACCGATTCAAGAAAAGGCTCTCATTTCCATGGCTCACCTGGCTTTATAAGCTAGCAAAAGCGTTGATTTTTATTTTTTTTTAATAGAGTGAACTGAGTCCAAATGAGTAGGAGATTTTGAACCAGCGTGATTAGTTTAAGAACGCCTAGCTTCTTCCCTGTGCAATTCTGTTCCTTTAAGATAAAACAAACGTGCCAACAGTGACACCCCTTTCCAGAAGAATAAAGGTATGGAAAGAATTAGACCACACACAGAGTGCTTTTAAAGCCCCAAAGAAAAACAAAGAATCATGGGAACTGTAGTTTACCTCCACAGTGCTACAATTTTCAATGCCTTGAACAAACTATACAGGATTCTTTTTTACTGAAAGGGACTGTGCTTTAAAAGTATACTGTGTATGCAGCCAGAAGTGGTTCTTGTCCCCCGCTCCTTCTATTGGGCAAAGTGCCCCTTATCCACCTGGCTCTAATGGGAAGGAAGGAGAGAGCGGGTTTTGTTTTTCGGTGGTGTTTGTGTGTGTGTGTGTGTGTGCTTTCGGAGGTACCATTAGCTTGTGAGCAAAGGTTGCTGTGTGTCTCCATGGAGACAAGACAGCAAGCCAGACAGTGCATGTGTAGATCTAAGGTTAAAGCTGATTAGCAAATGTCAGCAGGATCATGGCAGCAGCGGCGTTCCTAGAACTGCCCTCCATCAGCGTTGGCGTGGGTCCCTGTCGGAAAGGGAATCGCAGCAGGGTAGAGCAGGCTGAAAGGCAAGGAGCAGGGGGGAGAACAGAGCGTGGGAGGGGCTTCTCCTCCTCCTTCCCAAGCTAAGCATTACAGAATTAAAACAACACAGAGCCTTTCTGCAGTGGTGAGGCAAGCCGCCCTCATTGCTCTTCCGTGACCATCAGCAGCATTAACGCCATATTATTTGGAGCTGTTGGATGATGGTACCATCAAGTTGGTTGGTGTTTATTTTCAGCTGACATATCAGTTCAACTCCGTAGCTTTGCATCTTGCCGTGCCCTCAAATTGAGCTTCCTCTTTGAAAAAAGTGGGGGATAACTTAATATTTAATATGCCAAGGCTTGCTGTTCTTGTTGGTTTCTATCCCACCTGTCCTAGAAGTAGAGCAGGGCAGTTTACAGGGTTCCCACCCACTGTATCCTCAACCAACCCTCGGTGGTAGGGCAGGTGTGGGGGACGTTTGTCCGTCCAGACATTGCTGAACTATGATTCCCATCGTGCCTCACTATTGGCCGTGTTTGGTGGGGCTGCTGGGAGTTTAGTTCAGCAACAGCTGGAGAGCTAAAGGTTTCCCACACCTGAGGTAGGTTTAGGTTGAGTTGAGAGTGCCTGGCCCAAGGTTGCCACATGAGCTTTATAGCAGAGTGGGGATTTGAACTGTCTCGACAGTCCTGACCATCTAACCAAGACTTCCTCAACTTGGTGCCTGCTGGCAGCAGGTCAGCAATAACTCACAGGGTGTCTGTGAAGTTAACTCTTTATTCAAAGAAACAAAACAGTTCAGGAGGCCTAGTGAGCACAGCAACTCTTCTCAGTAGATCTTGCTCCAATGAGGCAGTTGTAGGGACTAAGGGTCCCTGCCTCCCCACAGTTCCCTAAGTCTCCTCTTCCCCCAGGTGCTTACCCCAGGCAAACTGAGACTTCATTGGCTCGTCTGTCATTGCTCCACCCTCTTCATACCTCTTCTGGTTCTGGGAGACCAAGGAGGAGGGGAGCTAGTTGCAGCAGTAGGGGGAAACCCACTGGCTTCTTCAGCAGCCTGCCTCATGTCTGCCTCTTGGCCCCCCGCCTCTCTAGCCTCTGCTTCTATCTGGTTCTGGGCTGCTGTCTGTCACAGAATCTTCCTGCTCACTAAACCCTGTTACCCTTTCAGCTTCTGACAATTCCTCTTCCCAGTCTGCTCCCTCTTCTCCCTCTGACCATTCAACATCACCCCATCACCAATTCCCCGGCTCAAAGCCTTCTTCCCTTGGGGGTTTCACAGCTGGTGCCTCCCTCTGCATCCAGCCAGTCCATGACAGTGCCCTCCAGATGTTTTGGACTACAGCTCCCATCTGCCCCAGTCAGCATGATGGGAATTGTCATCCAGGGTGTCTGGAGGGGACCAGGGTGAAGAAGGCTGAATCTAACCCGTAATTCAGGACTTAGGTGTTGTTAAGACTCCAACTCCCATCAACCCCAGTCAACATGGTCAATGGTCAGGTATGATGGGAACTATCTAGCAACATTTGGAGAGGCGCAGGTTCTCCGCCCCAGCACTAAATAAACAAAACTTGATATTCATTATCAGGTAGAAGGGCCATCTTTAATTGTGTATGATACATTCCTGATAATAGTAAGATCCTTTTGCTGAAAGACAGGCTAAAAACCTTTTAAATTAAATGTGCAGTAAATTAAATAAATCATTGCAGGAATGTGTATTTTATACTGTACATGGGTACCTAGATCAAAATTGCCCTACAGGTGTTCATTTAATTCAGAGCCCAATTAAAATGTGCCCATCCCAATTACTGCTGTGCAGTGCGATCCTATGCATGTTTATTTGGAGGCAAATCCCATATAGTTCAATGGGACTTTGCTCCAGGTAAGTGGATATGATTGCATCTTTTAGCTGATGGGTAATCTACCAATATAAACCAGTCTAAGCTTGCTGTCCTGCTGATTTATTTAGATGTATGGCTCTGCTAAGGATCAGGGGAGGCAAAGATCGGAGTCGCTACATAAACGCTGTTGTGTGTGTTGAAGCAGCAAAAGCTAAATCGTTATTTGGTGACCTTTCCATGACTTTAGTTTCTCCACCACTACTTCTGCTGTGAAATTAACGGGGGAAGCGGGGGGTGGGGTGAGAATGCGCTTTAACAAAACAATTGCTGTTGGCATAATACCCAAGAGGTATTATATCGTCCCAAAAGGATTATAAAGGTGGAGCAAGATGGGGTGCAAAATGCTGGTTTTCTGCCAAAAATGGAAACCCATATCCAGTTCCTCCGCTTCTCCCTAAGTATTTGGTTATTGAGTCTTTTAGAATGCCACACTGTCACATCCCTGTGGAGGAACAGACGACTTAATGGTGTCCACATTATAGTGTTATAGGTTTGTGGGGGCCAGACCACTACCACCCCCAAATTCAGAAATCCCTGACCTTAGTGGCTGGGGCTGATGGGAGGTGGAGTCCAATAACGTTTTGCCTTTTTAGTTTAGAGAAAAGGTGAGTAAGAGAGGACACGAGAGAGGTGTATAAAACTAGACTTGGCCTGGAGAAAGTGCATAGAGATTTTTCTTCTTCTTCTTTTCCCATAGCACGATAACTAGTGGACATTCAGTGAAGCTGAATGTTGGAAGATTTGGGGCAGATAAAAGAAAGGACCTCTTCACACATAATTAAGCGATGGAAGTCGCTCCTGCAGGATGCAGTAATGCCCACCAAATTGCATGGCTTTCAAAGAGGATTAGACAAATTCATGGAGGATAAGCCTATTGATGGCTACTAGCCATGATGGCAATGCCCTGCCTCCCCAGTCGGAGGCAGTAATGCTTGTGAATACCAGTTGCTGGAAACCACAGGCGGGGAAAGAGGAGGTTGTGTGCTTGGCTCCTGCTTGCATCTGGTTGGCCACAGAGAACAGAATGGGGCACTGGGGCACTGAGAGAACTAGATGGCGCATTGGCCTGATCCCGCTGGCTCTTCTTATGTCTCTCAACATTGGGAGAGGCACAGGTTTTCCAGCGCTGCTCTAAAAAGTAAACTGCAGGTCCAGGAGTGGAGGAGCCCAGCCTATCCTAGGCACCTGCAGCCAAGGAAGGTGCACGTCTGAAAGTTAATTCTTTATTGACAAAAGCATGCTCCTACGGTGCTCTAGATACGCACACTTCTAAAGGTAAAGGTACCCCTGACCGTTAGGTCCAGTCACGGACGACTCTGGGGTTGCACGCTCATCTCACTCTATAAGCCGAGGGAGCCGGCGTTTGTCTGCAGACAGCTTCCGGGTCATGTGGCCAGCATGACTAAGCCACTTCTGGCGAACCAGAGCAGCTCATGGAAATGCCATTTACCTTCCTGCTGCAGCAGTACTTATTTATCTACTTGCACTTTGACGTGCTTTCAAACTGCTAGGTGGGCAGGGGCTGGGACCAAGCAATGGGAGCTCACCCTGTTGTGGGGATTTGAACCACCGACCTTCTGATCAGCAAGCCCAAGAGGCTCTGTGGTTTAGGCCACACACTTCTAGCCATGTGCTTTAAATGCATGGTGTCTACCCAGCCTCTCACCCCCTTCAGGTAAATAAGAGGTAGTATCACATTTGAAGTGTTGACTCCCGGCTTGTGGAATGATTCCCTAGTAAGGCTTGCCTGCCACCATTGTTATGTATCTTTAGCTGCCTTTTTCATCCGGCCTTTGACTTTTACCTATCTATGGCCTTCGCATGAGTGGGATGTTTATATATATATATATGGAATTGTCTTTTAGATATTTTTTAAATGCTGGTTTAAATGTATGCCTGTGTGTGTGTTTGCTTTTGCTTAGAATATTTTAAGTTTGCTTTGAGCTGCTGTGACAAAAGCAATTTAATAAATAATGGTAATCCATGCATAAGAGGGAGGAATTAACAGGCTTGGGGGAAGTCTCAAGGTTTGCAAACCTGCAAAGCAAAATTAGCGTAAATGAACCCTAAAGAGAGCAGGGCAACTGTGAAAGAGCCATACATGGAATGAGCGTGGTCAGTGGCTGTGGGTGGAGGGCTGATGGTTGAGGCGGGGGGGGGGCAACCTTTTTCAGCCCAAGGGCCACATTCTCTCAGGCAGCCTTTCAGGGCACTTGCCAGTGGTGGTGGGTAGATAGGGAAATGTGGGTGGAGGAAGGAATGTAAATGTTACCTTTGTAGGGAAGACTAGTTTCTCCACACACCACTCTCCATCCTGCCTGCAATCAAGCACATTGAGTTGACAAAATCCAGCATCGCCTGAGTTCTGCGAGTGCGGCTTTCTCCTAATTGAAGTGCAGAGTGTTTGAGGACCGGGACATTCACAGGGAAATCAAAATGTTTGTTTACAAAGCTATTGTACTACCAACCTTACTGTATGCTTGTGAAACATGGACCACTTATAAACGCCATCTCCAACTCCTCGAAAGATTCCATCAATGGTGTCTCCAAAAAATTTTACACATCACTTGGGAAGACAGGCGAACTAATATCAGTGTACTGGAAGAAGCAAAGATCACCAGTGTTGAAGCAATAATTCTTCAACCTCAGCTTCGTTGGACTGGTCATGTTGTGTGGATCCCTGATGATCGTCTTCCAAAGCAACTACTCTATTCCAAACTTAAAAATGGAAAGCATAATGCTGGTAGTCAACAAGAGGTGTAAAGACTGTCTCAAGGCAAATCTTAAACTGGGAAACACTGGCCTGCGAGCACTCCGGTTGGAGAACAGTCTTTACCAAAGGTGTCATGGGCTTTGAAGACACTCAAACTCAGGACGCAAGGGAGAAACGTGCTAAGAGGAAGGCATTCTTGGCAAATCCACACCATGATCAACTCCCGCCTGGAAACCAATGTCCCCACAGTGGAAGGACGTGTGGATTCAGAATTGGCCGCCACAGTCACTTACGGACTCATTGTTAAAACCGTGTTTATGGAAGACAATCTTACTCTGCTACGAGTGATCACCAAAGAAGAAAGAGAAGCAGCAGCAACATCGACTATTGGCTACTAGGGGTGGGCAGATCTGTCCATTCTGATTCTCTCAAGTTTCTGACTTTTCCCATCTTAAATTCGCTTCTGAAATACTTTGCTTTTTTTTCTTTTTACAAAAATACTCTCATGAAAATTCATCAGCATCTTAGTATGCCTTTCTCCTAATAAACACATTTTTTAAAATGCAGTTTTGACTACGGCACACATTTTTGCAAGCAATTGCCCCTAATATAAAGCATTTGTGTGTGCCATTTTCAGTGTTTGCATTTTTATGCATACTTTCATTTTCACCAAGGTCGTTTGCCTGAAGAACTGCTTGCAAAATTCAGAGATGGTTACTATAAGTTTTGAAAATCACTGTGTTTCGGTTCTTGCATTGTTTTGGAAAGTGCAAATTAACCAGCTTCACCTTTAAATGAGGACCAGTTGAATTTCTTCCCTCACCTTTAGCTACCGTAGAAAATTTATTTCAAGGCTACTGTTTGTGGTGTGTGTGTGTGGATGTGACAGGGGAGGGGATCCCGTGGGGTCTAGGGAGAGCCTCTGTGGGCACATGTTAGTGACCCTTAGTGGTCCTGCCTCTTTCAACTGCAACGTGTATTACTCCACGGGCTTCAAAGTATAGTGATGAAGCTGCTGTGTTTGGGGCCCTCCCATCCATTCTGAAGCCTGGGTTCCTTGTCCCCAAGTCGTGCCCTGGTGGCAGCCTTGGGAGTAGAGAGGCAACTTTGGAAAGGGAAGACTTGCTAAAAATCATTCAGGCATCTAAGTCTTTTATGTTGAAATTAGCGGCAATTGGTGCCCAAATCAGAATGTACAAAAATAGAAATGATGTCATCAGAGTGTGCATATTTGTAGAGAGGGGGTCAATTGTGTGAGTAGCAGGTGATTGGAAACCTTCGAGATTGCTAAGGTGCAGAGTATTACATGTGGCTTTTTAATCTTTCCCAAAGTTGATTCAAGCATCTACACCTGCAGTTTGTCTCTTGAAAACACCTGTGTTCCAGCTCTTTAGCGACCCACGTCTCCTAATCTCAGATCAGATTCTTGGTGAGGCTGACATACTCAATGCAGCAGAAAAACTCCTCTCAGCTGCAGACTTGAGCAAACTTATTTGCTGAGGAAAACAATGGTGTGCTGGGGGAGAGGGCAGCCCTGATTACGTGAGGGCTGTTTGTTCCCCATGCTTTTGTGAATGTGGGATTGTGTGTGACACCTGCTCGTGTGTTTCCAAGATGCTCTGTTTTTTTTTTAGAAAAGTCAGCAAGCTTCTGGTCTTCATGAAGCTGAAGGTTTGTTTGAAAATATGCAGGGATGTTTGTGCGCACACACACACACACACCTTTATTCCTAGGCATTGTCACGTCTATGGCCTGCAGAACTAGCACTCGTTTTTCCTTCCTGACCTCTACTGCCACTTCGTTGTTTACTGTAAGAAATTCAAAACCCTTTGAAAATTCAGACCCAATTGACCCATCTAATTATGTTTGACAGATACAGGCGAGGACCATTTCTTGTTGGGGTTCCCTTCCTGCCCCCCCACAATGGAAGAACTTGCATAAGCGCACCCCACCCTGTTATGCCCCACCCACATTATGCCCACTTCCGGTTCCAAAGGGACCTGCATGCTGGCGATCACATGCCAATTGGACGCACACAAAATGGTTGCCAGCTGTACAACTTTATGGGTTTTAGCCATACTTGCAAGTTTTAACACATACAGATGAGACATATCAAAGCAAGTGATGTAATAACGGTATGAGTTTGTGCAGGGGGGTGGGGAGGCTGCATGTTGAGACCCTTCTAACCCCTGGATCCAGAAAGTGTGAAATTGTAAGTCAGGCTAGATTCCTGGTGATGTGATCGCCTGGCCGATGGGCCATTAAGGCAACAGAGGAAAAGGGCTCTGTGTGAGACAGCAAACTTGTGGATGGCTAGAAGGACAAAGCCAGAATTGACATCAGAGTGATGTGAGTTAGAAGAAAAGCAGCAAATTGGAGAGTCCATTTGAATAAAAGGATGCAGCTATGGGGGAAGAAAGACCCTTTTGGGGTGCTGTGAACCCCTCAATAGTAAATAAGCCGTATATCATAAAGACACCATAGTCTCCACTGTGCCTCATTCCAGAAGGAAACACGAATCCTGGGTAAGTGCCTGGAATCTCACACTGCTCAAAGACTGCGGTGGTGTGCAACAATAATGATGTCACCTGTATCATGAGGCACTGGTGAGGCATACGTGCCATTTCTCCAGTTAATAACATTTGGAAGAATCCAAGGGGAATCTCAGGCTTGGGGAGACCAAATGTAATCCTCCAAGTCTCTTTAACTAGACCTCAAGGCTCTTCCAAGTCTGCACCCCCCTCAGGCCCTGCTTTGCATCTTCCTTGAGTGTTTTGGGCTGGCTGCAATGTGTCCTTGAATTCTGATAATGCCTCTTGCTTGCTGGGATGGGGAACGGAGAGTGGGGTGTGGGTGTGTATGGAAGCTAGCTTACTAGACAAAGGCAAAACTCGCATTCATTGCTGCACCTGCTTTGCTTCTGGCCCTGGCCACCACTGATATGTGGCCCACAGAAAATTGCACAGAAGAGAATGTGGCCCCCTGGCAGAAAAGGCTTTCCCACTCTGGCTTAAATGTAGCACACAAACACGGTTAAAACAATGCAATAATCATCCAACCAATAGAAAATTAAAAAGTTGAGTAGATTAAGAAATATAATAATAATAATAATAATTTATTATTTGTACCCCGCCCATCTGGCTGGGTTTCCCCAGCCACTCTGGGTGGCTTCCAACAAAGATGAAAAATACACTAAAATGTCACATATTAAAAACTTCCCTGAACAGGGCTGCCTTCAGATGTCTTCTGAATGTCAGGTAGTTGTTTATCGCTTTGACATCTGATGGGAGGGCGTTCCACAGGGTGGGCGCCACTACCAAGAAGGCCCTCTGCCTGGTTCCCTGTAACTTGGCCTCTCGCAGTGAGGGAAACGCCAGAAGGCCCTCGGAGCTGGACCTCAGTGTCCGGGCAGAACGATGGGGGTGGAGACGCTCCTTCAGATATACTGGACCAAGGCCATTTAGGGCTTTAAAGGTCAGCACCAACACTTTGAATTGTGCTCGGAAACGTACTGGGAGCCAATGTAGGTCTTTCAAGACCGGTGTTATATGGTCTCGGCAGCCGCTCCCAGTCACCAGTCTAGCTGCCGCGTTCTGGATTAGTTGTAGTTTCCGGGTCACCTTCAAAGGTAGCCCCACGTAGAGCGCATTGCAGTAGTCCAAGTGGGAGATAACCAGAGCATGCACCACTCTGGCGAGACAGTCTGCAGGCAGATAGGGTCTCAGCCTACGTACCAGATGGAGCTGGTAAACAGCTGCCCTGGATACAGATTTGACCTGTGCCTCCATGGACAGCTGTGAGTCCAAAATGACTCCCAGGCTGCGCACCTGGTCCTTCAGGGGCACAGTTACCCCATTCAGGACCAGGGAATCTTCCACACCTGCCTGCCTCCTGTCCCCCAAAAACAGTACTTCTGTCTTGTCAGGATTCAACCTCAATCTGTTAGCCGCCATCCATCCTCCAACCGCCTCCAGACACTCACACAGGACCTTCACCGCCTTCACTGGTTCTGATTTAAAAGAGAGGTAGAGCTGGGTATCATCCGCATACTGATGAACACCCAGCCCAAACCTCCTGATGATCTCTCCCAGTGGCTGCATGTAAATGTTGAAAAGCATGGGGGAGAGGACAGAACCCTGAGGAACCCCACAAGTGAGAGCCCAGGGGTCTGAACACTCATACCCCACCACCACTTTCTGAACACGGCCCAGGAGGAAGGAGCGGAACCACTGTATGACAGTGCCCCCAGCTCCCAGCCCCTCAAGACGGTCCGGAAGGATGTTATGGTCGATGGTATCAAACGCCGCTGAGAGATCCAGCAGAACTAGGAAACAGCTCTCACCTTTGTCCCTAGCCCGCCGGAGATCATCAACCAGTGCGACCAAGGCAGTTTCAGTAATGTAAATGAGAAAGGATGGGTTTTAATGATTTATTTAATCAGGATAAAGAGACCTGGTGAGCCTGGAACTTTTTCATCCGTTTTACCGTATTTTTCCATCTATAAGACGCCCTCTATTTTGGGAGACTCTGATTTGGGGACTCCCCACTCTGCACTATTCGTGTATAAGACGAGCCCAGATTTTGAACATAATTTTAGAGTAAAAAAAACTAGTCTTATACATGGAAAAGTACCGTAATTGTTTTTTAACTATTCAGTTGTTATGCTTTTTAATTGACTTGTTTTATTGTATCTTCCTATACAGTGTATACATTAAAACACAGTGTTGCAATGCTCTGCAGTTCACATGGCCACCAACAGAGGCTTATCATGGTGGCCAGGGTGGGGGCAGAGAGGCCCTTCATGTAGTTTTAGCAAGCTGTGTGAAGTGTCTCGCCCCTCCTTTAAAGGGTTGTGGGTCTTGGGACAGGAGGGGCTTGGGTTGGGCTTTAGGGGATAGGTGAGCTGTAAAGGGAAGGAGGAGGGGCTGGTCAAGTGTGGGGAAAGAAGAATGGGGTACGTGGAGTTGATGCCTGGGCAGTAGCCACGAGTATTTTAAATATGTGTGTTTTAATGTTTTGATGGAATTGTTTCTTGTGTGTTTTAATTCTGTATAGATTTTATTATTTATCTATATTTATCTATATATTTAGTAAAAGTTAAACACCGCTTGATTGTAGAAACCTCAGAGGTTTACAAAAAGATAAAACAGTAAAAATCAAGAAAAATGCACAGCCCTATTTTAAAAGATACAAAATACTAAAAAAAGAAAAAAAGTTTGAAATACGTTCTGAAATACTCTATGGACTTTACTTTTAACTTTGGAAATTTGGCTGAACTGTTCAGAAGGAACAAAAGTATTGCTAGGCTGGAGTTTTCCCGAGATTTGCTCCTGAGCATCAAAGAATATGAAGAAGACCTGCAGAAGGGACTTGGAAGAGATTTAAGAGCCTCGGATTTTAGGGCTCCAGGTTGATGGATCATATGGAACTGACGGAAAGGACTGGCAGAACCCGAAGCCAGGGAGATGAGATAGTGGAAGATTAATGGAAAATTTAAAGTGTTTATTTAGAAATTTTGTTAAAGTAATGACCGTCAGAAATGGTGGGATGATATTTTATGGATTTAGCAGAAATGCTATAAGAAGTTGGGTGTATATAAGTAATCAACCGTTAATGGGAAATAAGATTAAAGAATATGTTATTCATAATATGACAGAAAATAGAGAAAGATGGAAAGGATTTGCTGAAACAAGTATTAGAAGCGGGATGCAAGAAGGGAGGTGTGAGGAAGTCGAGGAAACAAGGGAATGAAGGACAGAGTATGGAAAAGGAGGGATGTTTTTAAATTGTTTTTGTTCTGCTTTGTTCATGTGTTTAGTTCAATGGGTTTAGGGTGGGCTTGTATTGTTTATATATTGTATTGTTTTTATCTTTCTTCTTTTTCTCTTTTTCTTTTTTGTCTTTTCTCTCTTTTTTCTACTTTTTTGTAACTTTTAAAAGCAATAAATATTATTTAAAAAAAAAAGAAGTTTGAAATTAACTCGACTTTCTAAGCATCTGGGTAGGCTTGCCCAAACAGGAACGTCTTTAACAGGTGCGGAAGAGAGTACAGGGAAGGCACCTCCTGCTTGATCTCCAAAGGCAGGGAGTTCCAAAGTGCAGGCCCTGCCACGCTAGACGATGGAATCCTTACAGAGGCAGCGGACTGATTTTTATGCTTGGAAACGAAATCAATCAATCAACATCTGAAGATAATTCAGCACAAGGAGCCATCAGAGACAGACAGACCACGACTGGGTGGGGAGAGGGGGGTGGAGAAAGAAATCGCAAAAGGAAGCAGGGTTTTTTAAAGAAAAAATAATAAGGTTAGTGTTTAGAGTAGCCAGATGCAAACCAGGGTTGGGCTCTTGCACCTCAAACAGCTCTTTGGCATTCTACATAACTTTTAAAGCTCCAGGAGCCTTGCCCCTTTTTGCACCTGGCCACCCTGTTTTGTGCTTCATGAATGGAGAGGCCGCCGGCAGAGACGTCTGAAAGTACGTGGGTCATAGGCAGGTAAGATCCTCCCTCAGAAGGACTGGCTTGACCACAGGTTCCACTGAAAGAGAAGTCCCGAGCGAGCGCCACCCCGGCTCTCGCCGCTCCCTTCCGTCTCCGGAGTCTCAAAAAGCAACCCCGCCCCTTTCCCCTTCTTGCAGTAATACCGCTAACACGCCAGGGGGCGCCCTCCTTTTAAGCCCGAAGAGCAGAGCACAGGTCGGCCCCGCCCGGGCGAACGAAGGAGAGGCCGGGCGAAACCACGAGGAGGTCAGTTCCCTGCTGAAAACTGACGCGAATTTATCAACAAAGAAATAACTTCTATTTAAAAGCAAAACAGCAACCCATAACAAGCTGTAACTTTCCCTTCTCAGTCTATTGGCATTCGCTCCTAAACGTGCCTCACCTCCCCGACCTACCACTTTAACGCTCCCCCTACCCACCTCGGCATTATGGTACGCCCCGCGTTGTTCCCTTATAAAAAAAATCAAAGAGGAGGCTCGGTTTGGGTGTGGCCATTTAAGAAATCTGGGTGGGTACGCAAATCGCGGAAGGTTATCAAGTGACTGACAGCACTGTCCGTCCAATGGCGCTGGGGCGGGAAGACACCGGCCGGCCAATGGGGGCGCGGACCGGCGGCGGAGCAGGCGGGGCCACCTTCAGTCAGCGCAGGCTGGGGCGGGGCGGGGGAGAGGAAAAGCTGTGGAATGGCGGCCGGCCGGGACAGGCCGCTTCGGTGCTGAGGAGTTCGGAGGGAGGCGCGGAGAAGGCGGCCGTGAGCGGGTAAGCCTCGCTCCGTGGCGGCGGGAGGGCGAGGCGCTGCCCTTTTCCGGGTGTCCGCTGGAGGGCATGGGCAGGAGCGGTTATTATGGGATGGGGCAGTTTTTTTGCCTTCGCTGTGTGGGAAGAGGCTGACCCGGGAGAGACCGAGGAGCGGCGGAGGGTCGTGGCGCGGGCGGGGCCTTCGGGCTTTCTGAACAGGAAGGTGTTGGGCAAAGGTGGGTGGGGGATCCGCGGCCCTCCAGGTGCTGCCGGTCTGCAACTCCCAGCATCCCTTAGCCTCGGCTGCGCTTGCTGGGGCTGATGGGAGTTGTAGTTCAACTTCATAGAGGGCCGCAGGGTCCTCAGCACCTGGTGCAGGAAGCGGGCTGGGATGGCAACCTCCTCCCTTGGGTGTGTGCCTCGTCCCCTCTACCTTCTTCGTCAACGCCCTTCCTAGGCAGACCCATCTTTCTGTAGAAGTTGTTTCCCCTTTCACTAGGAGCCACTGGTGTAACTTCTGCTGATCGAAGTGGTTTTTATTCATCCCTTCGGCCAAAAGAAAGAAGGATGAGTCAGGGGGTTCCCGGAGTGGGTTACGAATCACAGGATTAAGAAGGAGGAGGAAATAAGGAAATGTTCGAAAGTTTAGTTGGGTTCTGCTTTTAATAAGGGCTGCATCACCCACCGGTGGGGTTGGGTGAGAGGGTTCCTTTCCAAAATGAGAAACGTTGGTCTTGATTGTGTTGGTCTAAGATGGTTTTTGTACTACGGAGCGTACAAGATGGTATGCACACATGCACGCACGCGTCTAAACTGCAATTGCTTGCTCTCTCGATAAATTCTGAAGCAAAGCGCTCTTTCTACTATGCAGTCTCGCACTGCTTTCTAGGTGGAAGAGTTGGAGGTACAGATAGTGTCAAGCGGAGTACTTTGCTGCTGAAGCAAGAGATCGTTTTTTGAGAGGGCAATCCTGTATGTCCTTAAGCAAAAGTAAATTCCAGTGTAAGAACCAATGTGATGTAGTGGTTAGAGCAGCCTTTCTCAACCATGGGTCTCCAGATGTTGTTGGACTATAACTCCCATCATTCCTGACCACTGGGACTGCTAGCTAGGAATGATAGGAGTTGTAGTCCAACAATACCTGAGGACCCAAGGTTGAGAAAGTCTGGATTAGAGTGTCAAACTGCGACTGAGGTCCAAATCCTCATTCAGTCCGGATGCTTACCGAGTAATCCTGTTCCTGTTGCTATCTCTTAGCTTAACCTACCTGATACTAGGAATGTTGTCTAAGTAAAAACGGAGAGAGAAATCATACCCTGAGCTTCTTGAAGGAAGGGTGGGATAAAAATGAAATAAATCACAATGTAACAATAATAGTTGTGGCCAGTAGGGCCTCCTTCCTGATCAATGTGTTTTGGATTGCAGCCTGACTTTATTGTCACCTGCCCAATGTAACATAGTAAAGCATTTTGCTTCTGTAATGTACATCAATGGCCTTGGCCCAGTATACCTGAAGGAGCGTCTCAACCCCCATCGTTCAGCCTGGACACTGAGGTCCAGCTCCGAGGGCCTTCTGGAGGTTCCCTCACTGCAAGAAGTGAGGTTACAGGGAACCAGGCAGAGGGCCTTCTCAGTAGTGGCACCCGCCCTGTGGAGTGCCCTCCCATCAGATGTCAAAGAAATAAACAACTATCCGACTTTTAGAAGACATCTGAAGGCAGCCCTGTTTAGGGAAGTTTTTAATGTTTGAAGTTTTATTCTGTTTTTAATGTTCTGTTGAAAGCTGCCCAGAGTGGCTGGGGAAACCCAGCCAGATGGGTGGGGTAGAGAAGATAATAATAATAATAATAATAATAATAATAATAATAATAATAATAATTACACTACCACCCATGCAGGGCAGATGTAGGAAACTTTTGTCCTGCCAAAGGTTGCTGAACTACAGCTCCCCATCATCCTTGGCCATTGTCCATGTTTCCTGGGTATGATGGGAGTTACAATTCAACATCTGCAGGGCTGAAGGATGCCTACACACCTAGCATAGGAAATGCTGTTATATTAAAATGTAAAGTTGCTTTTTAACTGCACTTGGGGCATACTGAGTTGGCAGTGCAAACAATATAAAAGGGGAAAGTTCTGCAGTTGCAGAAAATTATTGCTCTCTTGAGAGCATAGGTATGAATGTACCCATTTGTGTGCTCCGCAACACAGCCCTTTTAGCTTATGGCACGTTCTTGGGTTTGCCCTAAAGCAATGCATGTCCTTCTCCATCTCTTTCCACTTATCTGGTAAGCTTGTTTTGGGATTGGATTTCCTATCATTTCTTCCTTAGGGGTTCATCAGTTGCAAGTGATGGGGGAAACTGTTTATGAGTGAGGTGTTACAGTTAAATGTGTTGTGTGATAGGAAGGATGTGGGTACTCTGGGACTGGAAGAAGGGCAGGGTGTTTTTGTGTTTATGATGGTGGAAGGTAGGACAACAGATATACTGTAGGTGGCACAGCTAGGTAAAGACAATAAGAACAGGAAAGGGAATCCAGGAGGAATAAAGAGGACTTTGAATGCGGGTGGGGCAGGCTTCTGACCATATTGAATGTGAGGGTGTTGGTGCAGGAGACAAAGTATGAAGCAAGTCTGCAAAGAGATGGAGACTGTCTTAGTCATTAAAAGCAAAGATAGCCGTGTTGGTCTGTAAGGCTGGGGTGGGGGGGACCAAATGCAAATGCTAAAGTTGGGCCAATACTTTTTTTAAGACCAATACTTTTGGTTAGTCCCAATAAAGGTATTGTCCAGCTGTGGATTTTGTCATTTCAATTGTAGGACTCTTGGTAGGAGCATGGTAGATTAGGGAGTCTTTGTGGTTTATGTGGGGGAGGAGCCTAAATTGGGCCCTAGGATTAAGAAGTCCTGGGTTTTAAAGCTATAAAGTGTATGACAAATGCTGTAGGCATGGCTGGAGGTCTTGGGGTAGTGATCTATGTATTTGTAACCTTAAAGTGTCAGTGTGACATGGACATTGATACTTTGAGAAAGGTGGTCATCCTGTAATAAGAATGGTATCCATGCTCCTTATTTTAATTTCAGATTTATGCTCTATTATAAAGGCAGTGGCTGGGCAGAGATAGAGGAATGTTTGCTTTGGGAGGCTCTTGGATTGTGAAATCCAGGGATACACTGAAAAATGCACCTGCACTCGGTTGGAGTTGTCCAGGTATAAGACTGGATTTTGTAACGTTGCCACCAGCATTGGGGCAATTGTGGTACTCAGTAGCAAGTAATGAGACTCTATGCATCTGCACCTACAAGTTTAGACTTTGGAAAGGGAAGGAAGTTGTGTGCCTGCGGTCTCTCTTGTTGCTCTCAACTTTCGCCAAGGAGGTCAGAGCAGTACACATACAGTTTCCTCCATTTCATTCACACAGCAACCCTCTGACATAGGATAGGCTGAGGAATTTGTGACAGGCCCAAGGTTGTACAGTGAGCAGTGTGACTGAGTGAGGATTTGAACCTGTTTCTCCTGATCTGAGTTCCATGCTTTGGCCATTACGCTGGCAATGGCATGCTGCAGTAGGGGTGCCAGTTCTGGAATGCAGGAATGTTTCCTTTATATGATGAAAGAATTTGTTCCTTTAAGGCCACCTGAAGATCTCTTTAAGAAACAAAGCAGGCCTTATTTCTCAAGAAAGCCTGGTGGATATTATGATCGGCTTGCTCCTGAACAAACCAACAAAGTTTATTAGCATTTTTGTTTATGTGGTATAATTTTCTGTGTGTACATTGATGGAATTTGTCTCCGTGAAACTTGCTTTGCTTGTGAAAATCTCACCCTTTTTGTTGGCACATGCAGCCAGTTGCCCTTACTTGTAAAATCTATTATGGGTGGAATTGTTCTGGAATTTACTTGCATAGTAACCTTTTAAAATGCATATCAGTTTTCGCTGGTGTGCAGTATTGGCTGTGAAACAATTGTCTGCTACTTATTAATTGCCCTTCACAGGGAGCTGCATTTTGGGTGCTTTTCTATATAAAAATATGGAGATATATTGAATGCTCAGCTAATGTTTGCCTATGTATGTAAGTAGAACAGTACATAGCATAAGATTGCTTCCCTTTGCCATCAATACTAATATTAGAAATGTCTGAACTCCTTAATTGCCCTAGTACTTTACTGTAAATATCACTGGCACCATTGCACCAGAACTGTCCTTGTTTTTAAGTTACCCCAAGATTCTTTGTTTACATAGCATTAATATCCTTTGCCTTTTTTCTATTTGTGTTATTTTATTTCTTAACGAGAGCCTTTTATAGAATCGTTCAATATAAATTTCCCAAGGACTGTGCAACATAAAACCACAACAATCCAATAACAAAAATATAGTGGTACCTCGGGTTACAGATGCTTCAGGTTATGTGTTTGCGGGTTGCGCACCGTGCCAAACCCGGAAGTACCGGAACGGGTTACTTCCGGGTTTCGGCGCATGTGCAGAATTGCCAAATCACGCTTTGCACATGCGCAGAAGTGCCAAATCACGACCCGCATGTGCGCAGACGCGGTGCTGCGGGTTGCGAATGTGCCTCCCGCACTGATCGCGTTCGCAAGCTGAGGTTCCACTGTACAGTTTAAACACACACACACAAATCAAAGCTAATAAATAAAATAGAAGTTTATGCGTTGCTACCCATTTGGAATACATGACTGAGCCATTCAAAAATAAATCCCATTTGCCCACAAACATACCTTCCACAAACAGAAAAATAGTATTTGTCATGGTTCCCTGTTAAAGAAGGAAAAGAACTGGGGAACAGCTGGCCAGTGTCTGCATAGCATATCTGTGGAAATGAGTCATCTACAGACCAAATGGTCTCATACTAGTTTTATTAGAAATTCTATTTCAAGCCATATATAAAGTGTTTGTTATATTTAAGTTCTGATTGCTTTCTGCAATTATTAGTCTGCCAGAAGGTCTTGGTGCAAAGTAGATGCATCGCTTGAATTCGTGGTATACTTCTTGTGCAACTTTTCAAAACTGAGGCTGCAGTCTTATGCACACATACCTGTAAGTTCTGTTGAACTCAGTGAGTCTTAACTTCTGAGAGGACATATATTAGAGTGTCATGCCACTTTTAGGTTAATGTCATGTTGCATTGTATTCTGATAGGCATATGCTATACACTACCCTGAAATACTTTCAATAAAGGATGACATACAAGTGTTTTTAAACAGGTGGAACAACTGATTTATTCATCACACTTGACTAATCTCAATCTACTATGGTGTCACTCGCATTGTTTATCTTGGAATCCCCAGTAGAAAGGAGTAGGGAGGAACACTGCTTGGGTTATTGGGTGTGGCCATGATACTTAAGTGTAAAGGAGTGGAGAAGCTTTCCAAATCTAGAGTTGGGTGTCTTTATTGTTCTGTAGTGAGAAATTCCAATTTGCCTTTTAGCACAGCCTTTTAGATTTAGTTTAAAATTAAATACCTTTGAAATAAGCCTTCCTAAGAGGATGCGGGTGGCACTGTGGTCTAAACCACTGAGTCTAGGACTTGCTGATCGGAAGGTTGGTGGTTCGAATCCCCGTGATGGGGCGAGTACCCATTGCTCGGTCCCAGCTCCTGCCAACCTAGCAGTTCAAAAGCATGTCAAAGTGCAAGTAGATAAATGAAGTGAGCCAACTAACATTAAGAAAACTGAAGTGCCTATCCTTGGAATAAATACTTGTACCTCTTCAGGAAATCATGCTGCAACATGAAAAGAAGCTGCAAGCGCGGTTTAAGAGGGGACTGACTATGGCTCTTAAGGGTAAAGGTAAAGGACCCCTGGCAGTTAAGTCCAGTTGCAGAAAACTCTGGGATTGCTGTGCTCATCTTGCTTTAGTGGCCGAGGGAGCCGACGTTTGTCTGCAGAGCGTTTTCCCAGGTCATGGGGCCAGCATGACTAAGCCGCTTCTGGCAAAACCAGAGCAGCGCACAGAAATGCCGTTTACCTTCCTGTCGGAGCGGTATCTTTTTCTCACAATAAGTCATGGTTGATAACTTATTTTAAATGAGCAGTGTACCAATGCCTGCTGCTCCATCACACCCCCTGTGTTCCATCTCTAGTGCAAACAAGAGCAACAAGCCAAGACTTTTCGCTTGGCATTAATGTCCAAACACCAGCATTGTGTTTTATGCCTGTGTAACAAACCATGATCATGGTTTGTTCTTGGCTGGTGTGTTGTTACGTCCTGGTTTGGATGTCAGACTTCATGGCTTGTTACTTCTGCTTGCCCCAGGGGAAGAGCGAAGCAGAAGCAACTAGGCAAGCATGTACTATTACTCTGTTCATGCAAGGTAACCCATTTAACCATAACTTATGGTGATGTGTGAACTAAATTACCCCATCAGGAGGCAGACACTGGCTGTTAGTGCATTGCTTTATTTGTATTTGTATTTATATGTCAGATTTGCGAATCCCCAGTAGATGTTTTCTCTTTCTCGTGTTTTCAAGGCTTCTTATATTTTGTTTTTGCTTGTATACAAAGTATATGCTGCTAAATCTCATGGTGCCTACTCAGTGCTTAACCAAACAAGAAAAGTTGAGTAGTGCCTAATGGATTGGTATTCCAGTTAATACAGCATTTGTCATACACATTATAGCTTTAAAAAGCAGCTTAAAAATGTAAAACTGTGATGTGGCATGAATATCAAGTCTCCTGCATTGCTACAGTCTTGGAAAAGCACACAACATGCTTCTGTTACAATTGCATAGAGGTTTTTATATCTGCTTAACTGTTGTGGTTCCCTCAAATCTTAAAAATTATAGTTTGCTGATAGTGCTGCAGCCGCCTTCTCAATTTGGAAGTGGGCGTAGCAGGTATGAATCTTGCAGTTGAAGCATAGTGGTTGGGGATTATTCTCTCCTTGGCTCCAACCTGGAGATGAGGTTAGGTCCCCTCTCACATTTGCCAAAGGGTAATGGGACACTTGCCAAAGGGTAATGGTGACAGCAGTCACGAAATTAAAAGACGCCTGCTCCTTGGGAGAAAAGCAATGACAAACCTAGACAGCATCTTAAAAAGTAGAGACATCACCTTGCCAACAAAGGTCCGTATAGTAAAAGCTATGGTTTTCCCAGTAGTGATGTATGGAAGTGAGAGCTGGACCATAAAGAAGGCTGATCGCCAAAGAATTGATGTTTTGAACTGTGGTGCTGGAGGAGACTCTTGAGAGTCCCATGGACTGCAAGAAGATCAAACGTATCCATTCTTAAGGAAATCAGCCCTGAGTGCTCACTGGAAGGACAGATCGTGAAGCTGAGGCTCCAATACTTTGGCCACCTCATGAGAAGAGAAGACTTCCTGGAAAAGACCCTGATGTTGGGAAAGATGGAGGGCACAAGGAGAAGGGGATGACAGAGGACGAGATGATTGGATGGTGTTCTTGAAGCTACCAGCATGAGTTTGATCAAACTGCGGGAGGCAGTGGAGGACAGGAGTGCCTGGTGTGCTCTGGTCCATGGGGTCACGAAGAGTCGGACACGACTAAACGACTAAACAACAATGGGACACTTGGCTATGGTGGTTGAAATTGTGGATTCCTGCTCTTACATCTCTCTTCCCCACTTGCACATTTAAAATGCTGAACTGGCACTTACATGGTTCGATACATTTTAAAGCACCCCCCCCATTTTTTTTAGCACAGTGCTATTGGGTTAAAAGAGTCCATTAGAGGGATAACTTCACTTCCAATAGTAGGTCTGAAAAAATGATAGTAGCAATTTGCCATTGGAGGTTTTCTGCTTTTTTGCATGTCCTAGTCACCAGGATAGGTTTTCACTTACTTATTCCCTAGACACTGCAGCTTTCACAGATGATAAGGCTATTAAGTAGAAGCAGGGGTACAGCTGTACAAGGATCCAGTTTTTCTCCTGGCAGTCAATGTTCCTACTCAGGTTTTATTTTTATGTTCTTAATTCTCCCTACATTACTGAACTTTCGGATTCTGATCATCTGTTTATCTCTTTTTTTTCCATGGGCCTGAATAAAGTCTGTGTGCAGTTTATTTTAGCCTTGTATCAACTATGATAGAAATAAATGTCTCCAAACAGATGACTCATAGAAGACACAGTTGAGTTTTCTCTTGAGACATAGGGAAAAGGGGAGATGGGACTATTGTTCATTTAGCCTCACTTTGCATCAAAGTTCCACATTCCCTGTAATAAGTATAGGATGTCAGGTATACAAGAAAATGCTGAACAAGTATTAAATGTCTATCCAGGATTAATAGACACTCTCATACTTGTTTTTCAGCTTGGTAGTAACCATTAGGTATATTTTATTTTTTACTTTCAGACTTGCTCAAAGTGAAGCTACTTAAATGGAATTTAACTTAAGGATAGTAAGTGCAGTTAAGGTGGTTTTGCTTCTGAGGCTCTTGTTCCCACTTGCTTTCTTGCATTCATTGTCTTTGATTCTCTGCATATAGTTTTGCAGGGGGAAACGTGATACTGTCCTTTGGCCTTCAAGCAGCTTTACAGTGAGATACTCCAAATTGCATCCATGGGCGAAAAACATTCCATGTGGGGCATGTTGCTATGGCTGCAACATGCGCAGAATGCAAGCAGTAGAGCCTAATTGGGAATGAGTGCTGGTACAGTGGTACCTCAGGTTAAGTACTTAATTCGTTCCGGAGGTCCGTTCTTAACCTGAAACTGTTCTTAACCTGAAGCACCACTTAAGTTAATGAAGCCTCGCGCTGCCGGAGACCATTTCTGTTCTCATCCTGAAGCAAAGTTCTTAACCCAAGGTATTATTTCTGGGTTACCAGAGTCTGTAACCTGAAGCGTATGTAACCCGAGGTACCACTGTACTCTCAAGGTTCAACTAAAAAGACCTCTTAAAGTGGTGTAAGAGCAGAAGTGATAGTTCCCCTTTTGCACACATCTGCTTGTATATGCAGCAGCTGGTTGCATATATAGCTACACACCTATAATATACGAGTTCGCTGGTGGGATTAGTCCCATAGCCCATTTAGTTTAGCACTGTAACTCAAATAAAGGCCTGTTGTAAGCCATGTGAAACTCACAAGTAGGGGTATGGTGAAGGTAGCCATTTCTTATTTTTCTCTTGCCTTTGATAGTAAGAGGTACACTGTCTCTTGTCACACAATTTCCATTCTTAAGCCATAGTGAAAACCATAATTAGACCTGGCCTTCATGAATTTGTGTAATCCCTTTTAAATAACATATATGCTAGAGGCCATCCTAACATTTTGTGCCAGTGAATTAAAGGCGGTTATAAGTTGAAACTGTCTGATCCTTTTCAGATATATCTTCTCCCCAATCATGAGGACTAGAATCATTCTTTGAGAAAAGTCTTGAGAGACTGAATATCTCAGAATGTCAAATCCTCTGCTACATTCTGTATTCTGTGAGGAGCATTTAAAGGTAAAAAGAATAAAGGTGACTCACAGCCCTGAGGATTTGACCCATTCTCTCTGACTAACCCAGCCAGTGACTTCCAGCAGTAAAACATCTGAATCCTGTTCTGCTAATTCTAGCAGCTTCTGGGTCTGGTTCATTGGAGAAATCTTCTGAAGGCAACTTGCACAAAGGCTTAACTGTGCCTCTGAGAGTGCAAAAGCTGTCTGTTTCCCCAGAGAAATGCCCTTGACCTACCTATTTTACAAAGCAGCATTTAAAAAAAAACCTCTGAGAAACCAGAACAGCATCAAGGGCATTTCTGTGAAACTTTGCTTTACGTAAGAGGCTTCAGTTAGGCCTCATTCCCGAGCAAGGCAGATATTATAAAGCCTTCACGATAAAAGAACATAGAATCTCAGGTTTACATTGGTGATGACCCTAGTGCTGTGTGTGTGTGTGTGTGTGTGTGTGTGTGTTTAAAACCACCTCTATTTTAAATTATTTCTGAAACAAATAAATTTTAAAAAGCAACTAATTATAGCACTGGGGACAAGGAATTTCCAGACTAAGAGCATAAATTAGTGGGTTACATAAGCTGTTTTTGAATATATTGACATATAGGTCATTTATTGCAATCTGCCTTCAATAGATGACAGAAGATATAACTATCAAGAAAGTGATCTACAGGCCTCTTGTAATCTCCTGGGTCTGTGCTGCTATATTGCTTATCAACAAATAGTCTTAGATATTTGCAAAGCAGCATTGGGCAGATGGATACTTATTTTCGCTGAGCAGCAAGCTGAGATTTGCAGTTGCTAAGGGTATATAACTTATAACCTTTAGGATAATAACTTTTGGTCTCATTGATTAAATCCAGTGATTTTCTATCTATGGGTGTGGTATGGTACCTTGTTCTCATAGTTCAGGCCTATGGCAAGTTCACCAGATAGACTTAAACTACTTTTCCTTTTCAAACCTTCGTCAACACTGGCCAAATCTTACCATTGTGCATCACTTAAGTTCATCAGATTTATGATGCCATCAGTTTAAAAAGTGCTTTGTCTATCTTTGAGGCATGGAGATGTTTTCCAGGCCAGAGCCTCAAGTTTCTTTCTCTGGTTTCCACCACCCCCACTTCCTGTTCCCATAACTTAATGTCTCTTGTTTCTATTTTTTCCCCAGTAGTAAGAACCTAAGTGGCATAAAAATGTAGTAGCACTTTTAAAATTTGCAGTATATCTGATTGATTTCTCAAAAAGTTAAATCTCTCAAGTATTTTTAAAATGTGGAAATTGCAAGAACTGAGACCTGGAAATACTGGTACCTAGGGAAATTTACTTATTAGCTAACACTTTATCATCCTGGAGGGTTTAAGTGAACCCAAAATATTTGCATTGGCTCTTGAAGTTGCTGTTCTATTGTATTTGATTTTTCTGTACATTGCTTTTGTGATTTTTAAAAAAATACAAAATAAATAAATTTACTAAATCAAATCATTGCTATATTCCATGAATTTGTCAAATCCCCTTTTAATGACCTATTGGCTACTGTCCATCACTACCCATCTTGCCCGTGAATTCCATAAACTAATGGATGTGAGGGTACTTGTAGTTGCTTATTACTGCAGTACTTTGAACTACCTCTCTTTTGTAGTTGTAATTGGACTTTATGTCCTCTCTGACATAAAGAACACTATCACTTCCAGTACATCCTACCCTCTTCTTCCTATGCAGCTTTTAGCCGGGAATAAATGTTCCACTGACTTTCTCCATTCCATCAGGCTTCTGATATTTTTACTTTATTGGTGGTCTCTTTTAGCATCAAGTGCTCTACCTCCTCAATCTTGGCTTGGTGGTTTCTAGTTGACTAACAGAATGCTTTAAGAACTGGTGGTAGTCAGTATATTTTAGCTCTTGCCTTTCTGTTACTCCTGGGTTTAGTGAACTATCCAGTTGCTTGATTACACCAGAAATAACATCTGGACTACCAAGAAGCTGCTTAGGTTCTTGAATTCCTAGTTTTTTGTTTGCATTTGTTTGTTTGTTTTAAATAATCTTTTCCTCAGATGCAGCTACTGTATTTAGCCACTAGTAAGCGTGTCTGTATTTGTGCAACTAAATGTCTCACAGCAAAGACTGAAGAAGCCTAAGATGTTAATGAGGACAGGAGCTCAGATTGCAAACGCACTTTAGCGTAGCATGGTCACTGATGAGACCGGAAGGCGCCCCAAGATTTTTAACCTGGGTATTTTATGAAGTTTTATCCTGATTCCCATAACTTCTGTTTCTTAAACTGAATTTTATCCTGAGGAAGTAAAACATGAGTTTGAAGTATAGATTGCTAACAAAAAATATAATGTGTTCAGAGCTCAACTCCTTTTCTGTCTTGGTACCATTTGTACACAGGCATTCCTGGAACCCACGTATGTTAACGGAGTGTGCATAAGTCTGCCCCACCCAGTTATGCCTTCCCCCAGTTTCATCCCCTTTCTACCTTCTTCAGGGTTACACGTCAGTGTTGGACACGTGCAAAATCTTTGCCGCCTGTATTCTTATTTGAAATGCTTGAGACAGTTTTGTTTTTTTTAAAAAAAGTTGATTTTGTATCTGTAAAAACATTTTAAGAAGATAAAATTGACTGCCATAAATTTTGTAATGTCAAAGGTTGACTTAATAATATGAATGCAGCCATGATTAATTTAAGATATTAAATCTATTCAGGCAAGAATGCGTGTACATATTGTAATGACTTCCTTTTCGTACAATTAAAGTAATTGGATTATATTTAATGAGCTATTTACATTTAATAATTAAGAAAAGACTTATCTTTCCAGTATTCCCTAAGTGCAACAAACGGAAGGGTGGGGGCATTCAGTACTGGGATATAATTAACAAGCCATAAGTTGAAACTGAAAGAGCTGCTGAGCTGCTGTGGAAAAGACTGCTTTATTCCTGTAATTTAGAATTGCTATTGAAAGAGCAGTGCATAATTTAGAATCTGCATTAAGGGAAAGCATTAAGGGAAAGAGAGCTGACTGCTTCTAGGGACTTTCTTGTATGATACAATTTTGGGCACACATCCTGGAGAATGCCAACAGATAACCATTCCTAGCTAGATACAATGTGAGAAGAAGGAAATGTCTGTAAAGGGAAGATAAATTTTCTGCTTTTTCTGTAGGGAAGCACCCCTCTCTTTTGTAGTCTGGCTCTAGCACATGTAAATTTTAAGAGAGGAGAAGATGCAGGGTATTTCCCCGGTGAAGAATGCAGTATGCCAGCCATGAGCAAATGAGAGTGAACTATCCTTAGATGTACTTTGATCCTGGAGTAACCCCTTTTGTAAATAGGTGCATAAAGGTTCTGTCTACACTAGAGCTGGGCGATATATTGATATATTGTCCCAAACCAGTTTGAAGGCCGTATCGTGATACTGGTTTCATAATTTTTGACCTGGTAATATATTGCGAATCGTGATGTGTGCTATGCAAAAATCACAGTGTAGGAAAAACCATGATGCCAATCAATGCCTCTACATAGCTCCATCCTTATTTCAGACATCAAGATATAGTGGTATATCACAATGTTTAGCTGGTGATGAAAAAACAAGTAACGCCCAGCCTACTGTTCACCTCTACATAGTTCCACCCATATTTCAGACATTGTAATATATCAGTAAATTATGATGTTTAACTGGTATACGTATCACCCAGCCCTAGTCTATGCACATACAAACACACATAGAGAGACGCATGTATGCTAATAATTTGTGGAATGTCTTTGGGCATGGAAGAAGAAACTAAGCAGTTTACAAATGCTTTCTTGTCTGGTCACCTCAAGGTGTTTATTTGTCACAGACAAGTGATGATTTACAAGTTTCCTTAATCTCTTTGCAACTGCTGCTGGGATACTGAAAAGCATAGGAGGGTTTTAAGGATGTGCCACCTATGGTACACCCGTTGTTTGTAGCTGCCCTTACCCATGTCATTGGAGTAGAGGTCATCTATAGTTGAGGAGGCTTGAAGTGTTCCCCCACCCCTTCACCTGGGAAAGTTCATGGCTTAGTTTATTGCTGACCAGCCTAATCCTTTGCACGTCTTCTCAGCAATAAGCCATGTTGGTCAGTAGCCATAGAATAATGGTTGCATCAATAACAGTTTGAATTCCCTGCTTGAATTTTTGGTGGTGTGGAATATGCTAGTGATGCAGTTTTCACAAATTAGGTGAGCAACTGAAACACACTGTAGAACAATGAGTGTGGAACCCTTTTCAGCCCAAAGGCCACATTTCCTAATGTGGATCTTCCGGAGGCTGCATGTTGTTGGTGGGCAGGACTAGAAGTGAAAGTTTGTGGAGCAGTGGATGTCTCTCTTGCCTTTGTACCATAGGCTACATTCCAGCCATACAAAAGTCAGAGGTTTCTGTACATACCACGCCTCACCATTATCCATCCAAACAGTCAAGTAACATTATCACATGGATCAATTTTATCCAGCCAAAACCTATTAAGAAGGGCATGGAGCAGGCCCAGTGAGGGGTGTAGTCTGGCATTGCCTAGGACACCTTCCAAGGACCAGATGGAGAGGCCTGGAGGTTTGCATTCAGTCCCCAGGCCTGAGCTTTCTTTCTCTTCTGTAATATATTTGCCAACTAGTTGGACTAGCATTAGGCCATACAAAGTGGCTTCAGTCTGTAGAATTGAATCAAAATCTCTCACTAATAACCTAGGGGGTAAACTAGGTTTCCTTTTTGAGGTTGCACCTCAAAATCCGGTCGCAATCACTGCACAACCAAAGGAGTCATAGATCACGCATGTAAACAGCCCCCAATGGCATTGTTTCACCTATTTGCAGAAAGTGTATGTGCCTGTGTGACCCACAAGAGCAAGACTAATCTGCTACTCACATAGTATTGTTACTAGCTTTGGGCAAGTGACTTACAGGCTTAGAGGTGGTGTAGGGTTAAGAAGAATCCTACAGTTTATATTGCCAAATCACCAACTTCTCTGTTTGGTTGTCTCCCTCTCCTGCCTATAATGAACTCACTGGCTGGTGATAGTGGTGATCTTTATTGGTCTTTATTATTGCAAATTAGAAATAAGTGAATTGGTATAGTTTGATTTTCTCATTAGTAAGACATTTGCTTCGGTTAGACTGGGGCATGCTGTATTTGCGAAACATGACCAGAAAACAGATAGACTCATTTTTAAAAAGCTGGTTAAAGAACATAAATAGCACTTTTGAGATGCAGAAGTTGCTGAAGGCATGTTCTCCTCACTGCCTGTTTATTAGTGACGGTTGAAACATGCTGCACATGTGCACACTGCACCTTTTTATGTCCGAAAGATGCCTGCTCTTAGAGCAGCTCTGTTAATTTATGGGCTTGAGTTAATATTTACCATCCACAGAAATGTGTGTACTAAAATGTCAGAATGGTGGCATGAGTGCCCCTTCCCAGAACACGTTCCTGGAGTCAAACTGGCATTGTGGCTTTGCAAAACATGAATCTGAGAATGAATAACCATTCTGTCATTCTTCATTTAAATGTGCATGCTTTTTTGAAACTTGCTGATATCCAAACATAACACATAAAGTAACAGTTAATCAATCCTTGACCAAGTCAGTCATTAGCTTGTTGACTTAAGTTCCTGTGATACCCAGCTTACCGTGATAGGATTTTTTCCATTGGAAGGAAATATTAGTTTTAATCTAGTCCACACTACTCACTCACTATAAATTATATAACCATTTATACAATGTGGGAAAGCTTTTGCCCCTTATCATTTCCCTTGTCTATCATTTATTGCATCAGTTCTAATATTGAAGGTGCATAATGCCTTGGATGCTTGAATAGCTGAAACCAGCTTCCACGGTTGTAGCTCTCTGTAGCAGGGGTTGTATTGTTTATTGTAGAAAAACAAGCTGCAAGAATGAACATTGTGGAGTCATGGCATATTAAAGGGGCATGGGAGTGTGCCTTGAGTACATTGTAAGCCTCAAAATTATACAGCTTATAAAAATGGCACCTGTTGAACTAATAACTTGAAAGTTGGGATATAGGAGCTACCTGATGGAGTCTACCAATGTGCCAAATGTTGACCTGCTCCATGTTTCCTAGCACTGTTGTGATTGATGGTGCCAAAAAATAATTGTTAAAGCAAGTTTAAAGAGGCAACAACAAAAAGTGCAACTTTGCATAGTGAAGATGATTTGCATGCAGAAATGGGTTGTTTAATCATTTACATTTCAATGCATTTGTTGGCCAGTTGCTCTCCTCACTCCCAAAGGCTCCCTCAGAATTTACATAAAGTATAAAGTTAGACAGTTGAGCTCACTGATCTTAGCCCCACACTTGTTTTTTTTCTGTTGCAAGTCGATGTTGGAAACGGACAGTTTAAATAAAGAAGAGCTGTTCTGGATGAAGATCTTCAGCTCCTCGAGAGAGGGAGGGACATCCAGCTCTTCCAAGACAAGCAGAGTCTGGATGCTGTCAATTGCTGTGTCGAAGGCCATGTTTTCCCATGAGTACAGTTATCGGTAGTACTCTGCCCATCACTTCATCTGCTTGCTGCAGTCTGCCATGGTCTCTCCAGACAAAGTTTTCAGCAGTGAAGTTTTTCCAACTGTTGTTCCAAAGGCTTTCTTCATGCCTTTGGACATTTTACCCCACAGGTACTAGAAATCTTGTCAGTTGGATGAACATTGGTTACTGCAGTTATCCAATTTTAATTGGTAACTTAGTATTTGAGGAATTAAACCTTTGTCTAAATATTTTCATTTGTGTATTAGTTTCCAGTGATTAGCACACACACATGTAAACTGACCAATTTTTGTTCAGGCAAGCACTTTTGTGAATCTCTTAAACAGATTAATATTTTCAATTTGTGAGTACCAGGATGAGGAATAGCCTAGGATTTTCTTAGTGCTGCATTTAAGCCGATTGAGCTGTGAGACTATTACTCTGCTCTGGGTTCCTCGTGAGGAAAGAAATAAAACCTGTTACGAGGGTATAGTGAGGACCACACACGAGCTAACTTCCTTATGATTAGGAAATGTGAGAGGTCAGAGTTTTTGTTTTTTTATTTGTGGTGAATATCCAGGCCTCTTAGGGTTGTTGGGAGAAGAGGATCCTGTTCAAATCACTATAGCTGCCCTTTCCTACCAATTATTATTTGGCTGCTGGCTATAGCAGGGCAGCTATAGCCAGCAATGACAGATGAACCCATGATATTTGCGAAAGAATAAGTGCTCATTACAGGGAGAGAATAAGCGCTCATTACAGGCGGAAAGCAATAGCATGTGGCATCACGTGGTAGTTGCTTCATAATTATCACTCTAGTGCCGATTGCTGAGGCACCTCCCTTAGGTTGCCCTGTAATTCTAGTGCCGTGGATTTACAGCATCCTTTTCTGTGAATATTGCTCTGGGCCCTCAGCAGAACTTTTTGCTGAACATCCTTTTTATTTTTTGGTCTCTGCATGTATTTCCGTGTTGTTTTTATTATTTTTTCCCTGGCCTTTTGGAGTTTCACAAAGCCAAACTTTCTGGCTTTTTCAAGGAAGAACTGCTACTGCTGAGAGACGCTTAAAGCTAGTTGTCTTTTTAGATGTTGGAAGGAACAGTTGGCCTGTGTTGGCAGAATGAAACAGGACTTCTAGCTCTGTGGCCTGATGAGAATTTCAGATTTGATGATCCTCTTTCTCCCTTGCTTCCAAACCTTCTGGTGTGTCTAATCCACCAGTGGGCATTCTCAAAAGCTATTCCTGAGGTTCTGCTTGGCTTTGCTGTTTGGGTTTGTAGGGTGTGTGTGTTGGGGGGGGGGAATTTGCAACTACAGGCATCCCACTTACACGTGATCGACTTGCGTGTGACCGCGTATATGCGTGGAGCCAGGAAATAATGAAAAAATTCCATTCAAATCAGGAAATGGTATGAGGAGAGCTGGAGAGTCCTTGTAGCTCATGAGGAGACTCTCCCCGAAGCCAGAAGAGGACATCAGTGAGGGTGGAGGAAGCCCTGAAGAAACCAGAGGAGCAGTGAGGCTTTGTTTACACTGTTCAACCTCCCTGTCTAACAGCTGGTATACGAGGTAGCGCAGCAGCAGCTGCTCTCCTGCCGGCCCCAGAGCTTCAATTCTAGTTGTGGATATTTTTGGATACAGAATTTTTGGTATGGCAAAAAAAGAAAAAAGAAAAGTGGCAGAGAGGGCATTTAAAAGGTGTTTAGGAGGTGCTCCCTGCTTTACATGATTTCACTCATGTGCGTAGGGCCCTGCAATGTAACCCCCCATGTAAGTGGGGGGAGGTCTCATCTTTAAAAATGCTCCAGAAACGCTGGCCTTGGGTTCAGGGTCAGGTATCTGAGTTATTGTAAAAGGGCTCAGATGCCAGACCATTAGGGGGATGGTTTGCTGCTAGCAGACAGCCATTGTGGCTGTGCTAGCTTAAAGATGTTTCACACAGATGGTGTTTAGTAAAAGGTAATCTCTCACAGTAAAGAAGAAGTGAAATTGGTAAAGTCCATGTGTGGTTCCTCCCCACCCTTTTTTGTCTTCACTCTCACCTTTAAGTATCAGTGCTAAAGCAGGCTCCCAATTTCCTCTGGCTTACTTGAAGTGGTTCTTACGGTTGTGTTGGGGAGGGTGGGGCATATGTTGGCTTCCTTCCTTTCTGTGTTCACAGATAGCTTTTAAACAAAAAATAACACCCCCCCCAAACAGTTTGGTGCCAAATGATTGCTGCCATGCGGTATCTTTTCTGGAAGGGCATTTGTGATCTTTGGCACTGCGACTGTGTTGGTCTGCTTTGTTTAGGGCAGTTGTTTTCTAACTTTTTTCTCTGGGTCGCACTTTCAGAATAATTTTTTTAATTGATAGAAATGAAATGGAAAACAAAAAGAAGCACCTCCTAGCAGTGCTTGTTTTGTAACAGAACACAACTGCAGCTCCATGTTGAAGTAGATGTCCGAAAGAGTCCCTTCCAACTCTACAATTCTGTGATTCTGTAAAACTTTATAACAAGCATAGGCAAACTCGGCCCTCCAAATGTTTTGGGACTACAATTCCCATCATCCTTGACCACTGGTCCTGTTAGCTAGGGATGATGGGAGTTGTAGTCCCAAAACATCTGGAGGCCCGAGTTTGCCTATGCCTCCTTTATAATATGGTCATGGGATAGTCAGAAAGTAAAAAACAATGCAGCTACATAAGAACATGAATCATTCTCAAAATACAATATTGATTGTTCTTGAATCTTCCCACCACAATTGCTATTTTCTCCTGCCACACCCTTTGAGAACCACTGGTTTTGGGACACATTACCTGGGTACATGCTTATGTGTTTGGTGTTATGCAAGAGTAGCTTCTTCAGCTCATGTGGCAAGTTTGTCTGTATCATGTTTCGAGAGTGCTATATGGGGTTTAATGTTTTTTATATTCTAGGTTGCTTTGGGGCACTGTCCTGTGTATGAAAAAAGGTTAATAAACATAAATAGATAAATAAGCAATATATTTAGCTGTACTTAGCATGTGGTTGCTAGTGTACTCTATGCAAGTGGGAAACTTCTGTCTCCGACATAGATGCTGTTCAGTGCTAGAAATAGCCAGTAAGTCTTGTATGTGGACCTTTTGGACCACAGCTCAGCCATTTCTGTTTTCTGAAGCTTAAAATAACCACAACCCCACAGGATTATGTCAGCATTATGATTGCCACAGGTCAGGAAGGCTGCTATTGTCGGATCTCTGGTCAAGTACATAACACAGGCAGAGTTCCTCCACCCTCATATTTTGAGGTTACAAAGTCATATGTTGGGAGAGTGCCCACAGACACTCAACAGTCCAGGTGGTTCTTTTCTTTACTATTGCCATGGAAGTCAGGCCTTTTCAGTGTGCCTCCTAGGTATGGAAGCAAGTGACTAATCTTGGAGTGCTTTTACATTGTCTTCTACAATTTCCACAGAACAAACCTGAGGTAAACTTTCAGAGAGCAAAACTTGTGAAGCAAAGATTTATTCTCTTTAGTACTGTTTCTATATGACTGGTGGATGATCCGTCTCCCTGCCCCCTTTTTTTGCTCTGTTGCTTGTGCTTGCACTTTTATTTCCTCTTCCTTTCTTTTATTTTTTATTTTTAAATCCATTACAATCCACTCCTTCCCTTTTTCCTTTTTACATTTGTCTTCCTTCTCAAGTTCTTGCTTATGTATTTCTGATATGCCAAGTTTGATTCTTAGGCTGATTCTTGAGTGTTCCATTTCTACCTCCTGTGATGGTGCAGTGTGTGTTTCAAGGAATCACAGAATTGAAAGGGACTGTGAAGGTCATAGAGTCTAGCCCAGTGTGGGGCTCAAATACATGACCCTGAGATTAAGAGTTTCATGTTCTACCAACTATGTTGCAGGAGTGACTAGATATCCCAGTGTGAGTGTGTCTTCATTAGTCTGGCACAGATTCTGGGGGAAGGGGTGTTCTGAAAGCTATCCTACTCCATATCCCCTCCCCACCTCATCTCCTGTTAAATTTGATAAGATACATGGGCTTGTACCATGCCCATATTTTCCCCCAGTGGGGCAATTTAGGATGGAAAATGGGCAGGAAAGAAAGCACCCCTTCCTCTAGAACTGCTATTCTGACCTAATTTACAGGCCTAACAGCTGTGTATTAAAATGTTACAAAAGGGTGGGGGCTTTATGGGGACATGAGTCCTTCCAGAAGATGGGTTTTGGGGTTTTTTGAGGCTTTGTGTTATGATTATGAGCAAAGAGTACTATTGGAAAACTCATGGACTTTAGAATATGTGGTTTTAATGCTTTAATAATCTTTCAGGTGGTGCATTTGCATGTGGTGTTTATGAACTGTATCACGATTAAACTGCTTAAATCAGTATATGAGATTTTAAAACCTTAATAAACACCAGTCAAACAATAATCAAATGTTATCACAGCAGATTCCAAATCACAATAAAAATGTAGAACAAAAAGGGTATCCCTTAAGGTGGAACAGGTACCGTATTTTTCGCACCATAGGACGCACCGGACAATAGGACGCACTTTGTTTTAGAGGGGGGAGAACAAGAAAAATTTTTTTTCCCCTCTCTGCCCAGCGCCCCTTCAGTGAAGCAGCAGGAGGCGCTGCACAGAGAGGGGGAGAACTTTCCCCCTCTTGTTTTCCCGCTCTAAAACAAGGTGCCGTTTAAGGTGCGTTCAGGCGGCTACCTTGGAGCCTGGAGAGCGAGAGGGTCGGTGTGCACTGACCCCTCTCGCTCTCCAGGCTTCAGGTTCCTTCGACCTGCTCTTTGGGGCTGGCGGGGAAGCCCACCACCAGCCTCAAAGAGCAGGTCAGGGAGCAGCGGAAAGGCGCAGCGGAGAGGCTCCTGCCATTGCCGCGCGTCACCTCTGCAGCCGGGAGAGGGTCGCAGGGCTATGGCTTCTTTAGCCCGCGCGCGCTCTCCCGGCTGGGGAGGTGACGCGTGGCTATAGAGGCTCCTGCCATAGCCACGCGTCACCTCTCCAGCCGGGAGAGGATCGCGGGGCTATGGCCTCTTTAGCCCCGCGCGCGCTCTCCCGGCTGCAGAGGTGACGCGGGGCTGTAGAGACTCCTGCCATAGCCGCGTCACCTCTCCAGCCGGGAGAGGGTCGCGGGGGCTAAGAAGCCATAGCCCTGTGACCCTCTCCCGGCTAGAGAGGTGACGCGTGGCTATGGCAGGAGCCTCTATAGCCGCATGTCACCTCCCCAGCCGGGAGAGGGTCGCGGGGGGCTTCATTTTTGAAGGGGAAAAAGTGCGTCCTATAGAGCGAAAAATACGGTATTTTTTAATTAGGCCTGTCACTTGATTAAATTTTAGTGGATGATGCATCCACCTTCTTACCAACTGATTAAATATATATGATTAACAACAGCAATTGAGGTGACCTTTTCAGATCCTAAGTATGGTGTGAATTTTCATTTCTAGTAGGAAAGGCCCTCTATAGCGGCACAGAACATTAAATACCGTGTGTAGAAGTCTGTTTCCACCTGTGTGTGTTCATTTCTAATGTTTGTTATGTGGAAGTTGGCATGTTGTATCTTTGCTTTTCCACTGCAGTCCTGAATTCACTGATAATTTGGTGTGGGTGAATTTTCCTTGTATTTGGAACATTAACATTGTGGTCACATGGGATGCAGCTTGGGATGATGTCAGATATCCACCTAAACAATCACCGGTGCATCTGAGTGACTTTAAACTGTTAATATGCAGTATTCTGTAGTTGTCCTTGGCAGAACTGACATGAAGAAATCTGTTGCTCTGGGAGTGCCTTTGTACTTTACATAGCTAATCACATGTGGTCTTCCAGACTTTTCCTTTGGACCTTCTCAAGTTATGCTGTCTACTGCAGTGTTTGGAATCACTCCATTGTATGACATTGTGTATTGTCCTCCCACCCACCCCCAATACTGCAGCCAATGATGTGAGGGAAGACTCACAACATGATGATTGGCAAGTGATTCTCTAGGGGTGCTATTTGCAGCATTTTGTGTAGTTCTGCCTTTCAACAGGAATAGAAAACTATTCTAATAGTAGTAATAAAAAGTCTGATGCTGCCCTTATGAAGAGTTAGAGTTAGATTCAGGTTTAGCCAAGACAATGGTTGACTTTGAGCAAATTTTCTTTAGCCTCAGTTTTCCACCTCCGAATTAGGTTAAAGAGCTATGCTGCACACAAAAATGGATGAAAGACTTCAGTCATATACAAAGTATACCAACTTTTCTGGCTATGAAAAATAGAAGTCTGTCCTTTTTATCATTTGTTGTGATTATGCATACAGCAAGCTGGCTGACCTCTGCAGTATCCAAGCACAGGAAGACCCATTAAAGGTGAATGTATTCCTGTCAAGTTTTGCTGGTGCTTCTTGGCTCACACTGTTAATTTCTTGAGATTTTTGTAACCTCATGTTACATATAAAACCTTGGATGCTGTTCTGTGCCCTCCAGATCTTGAACTCCTCTGCAGTGGCAGGTCAGATTTGGAAATTCAGATTTTTGACTTGGGAGGTAATTAGCAAAAGCTAATATCGGCTTCAGTCCCTTAACGCACTGATAGAAAAGCATCCAGGAATGACTCCTGGACCTCAGAGATAAGCTGCCAGCTGCCACAGAGACTATAAAAGGGTGGTTCAAAGTCAAGCACAAACAGCTGACTTTTAAAAATGATTCTTGGTTTGTTGCTGTTGGTGACAGGAAGTCATGTTCCCCAAGCTGTCAGCTTCCTGCTTTTATTTTTTCCATTCCATCCACAGCAGATCAGAGTCTTTGTCATAAGACAGCTGTCTCCTCCGGCAGAGCTGTTCACCATCTGACCTAGGAAGGGGTCCACCCTTTTCCTTCAAAGAAAGGAGCAAATGAATTTCAGTGTACTCTATTTTCACTAGTTGGATATCTTTTTAATGCTTGTTTTTGTTCTCCACTAGAGCTTAAATTTCTCAGAGAAATACTCTCTTGAGAATGAATGACTTAGGCATATAGGCACTACAAATGGACTTTATATTTGCTAGAAACAGGATTGTATTTTTTTTGTAATAAAGTGGAAAGGAGATAGTGATGAGCAGAATATTCTTATTGGAATGTGTGTATTTGACATTTTTATACTGGAATGCTGTAAAATTGGGGGGGGATGCTTTCTTCAAGTGTCAGGTTAGCATAACTGCAGATTCTTTGATAGTATAACTTTTGGGAGAGCAGATCAGCACGATTCCCTGTCGAACCCTTTCAAAGCTTGTACTTTAATTCCTAGAGCTGCAGTCTTCGTTTGTCAAGCTATCAGCTGCTGTATGCCTTTGTAAAACTACTAGTGTGCACGTATATCTAAAACCATAGCTGCTTTAGTGGGAGAACCTTCCAACACAAGGGACTTGGTGGGGGGGTGATGCAGACCTCAGACTGAGAAGCATTTGTTAGCAAGCTTCCTGGTCAGTTAAAAGTGCTTCCTGTTTTGTCCTGAGAGCCCAACTTGTCTGGTGTGATGGAAAATGTTTAACCCCTTCCCAACTGGACTTGGGTTGGTGTTTGTTCTCTACACCCCTCCTGTTAGCCTTTAATAGTTTTGGCTAAATGTTTAGCAGTATTTGAAAGAAGTTGGCTAGATAGATTGGAACACATGGTTTGTGGGACAGATCACAGCAGCCCAGAGTGGGAAGCATCATACAGTGGCTGGCCCCAGCTTCTCTGTAGCAAGCCTTAAAACTGCAGGGTTTTTTATTTTAAAAGCCTAGTTCTGACAGGTGTGTGTGTGTGTGTGTGTGTGTGTGTGTGTGTGTGTGTAGAGGGGGAGATGAAAGCAGTGATTTAGATAAAGCTGATTTCTGAGCAGGGAAACGAATGTTGTGCTGCTGGTGATGCCAGCATCTGCGGCTGAGTAATCCTTTTCCTGTTTGCGGGATTTTTTTTCTCTTTTCAGAACGCCGCCTGAAGCTGGTCCACCATGCCATTAGTAACAAGGAACATCGAGCCAAGGCACCTGTGCCGTCAGACATTGCCTAGTGTTCGGAATGAGCTGGAATGCGTGACCAACATCACCCTGGCAAATGTCATTCGACAGCTGGGCAGCCTGAGTGAGTACCATGGCCAGCCTGCCTGCTGCCCTCAGGAGCTGCTAGGCTCTTGATTCAGCTGCCTTCTCTCTCTTCTTGTGTTCCTATTTCTCCCCCATCTGTCTTCCATGGGTAGTGCTAAAAGATCTTCCTATGAAACCTCCTTGAACCTTCTCTCTCCTCCTTGAATTTCTCCCTCCTCTACTCAACCAGTTTGCGTTGGAGAGGGATGAGCAAGGGATGACTGCAGCTGAAGCACAGCTGGAAGGAATACAAGACAGGCAGCCTCCATACAGAAGTGCTGGGCTAAGAACCTTCAATATGTTGAGCACATTATCAAGCGTCCCTCCCATTTGTTTTCAGTATTTAGTGTGCTAGTATTCCTTTTTATCAGATTCCTGTCATGATGCAGATGCAGCTACTTACTGATTTGAAGATTATGCATGTACCACATTGTATACTGAAATTCCTTCATGGAGACTATATGAACCATCACTCTATTTGGTTTCTTCATGCTGTTTATTTCTGCGGATGATGAATATGTTTTGGCTTTTATTTAGCTGGCTTTGTAAAAGGGCAGGATTACTACATGGGCAAAGATTTAAAAAGAGAGAAATCGGCCACTTGGGTCTTTGTTACTCTTTTAAAATCATGATGGGATTGGAGTTGCATTAACTCTATTTCTCTAGACTTTTGACTTTCTAAAATGCTTGCAAAGGGGTCCTCATATACTCTGTGAGGTAGATACTCATTAGAGAGTGCCTGTATAAAGCTATGTAGGGTTAAGGTTGAATAGCTGTGTGAATTGATTTAAATAAAGTTGTTTTTTAATGCACATATTTCCTGAGCAAGCATACCTGGTTGCAATTAAACAATTAAAACAACTGATTTGCAACTTTTAGAGCTTTTTACAAGCAAAGAGCAAAATCAAAAGCCTTTTGGTCATGAAGATATAGGTCTTTTGTTTGGTTTTCTCCAGGTACATGCAAGGATACTAAGCATGAACAAAATGGATCACATATGAGTAAACATCCATAAAATCAGCCTTTAAGTATCCATATCTTTGTAGAAGCAAGGGCTAATGCAATATGTATGCGGATGAGCTAGAATCCTCCTCTTGTTAGGTGTCATCTGAGCCTGCCTGTATCTGGGCTGCTGCTTTTTTCCTTTCCAGCATAAGAGAGACTGTTCAAGGAGGTTGGTTTGTGGGCTGCATACCACTTTCTTTTATGTGGTTCCTTGTGGAGTTGCAAAACGTAGTGCGTCTGTTTCAACTGGGCCAGCATACCATGGCTGGAAAGCAATACAGCAAGCCCTCAACGTACGCAGGGGTTACATTCCAGGGCTTGTGTCTAAAGCCAAAATCATGTATAGACAAAACACATTAGGTGCAATGGCAGGTGGGATTAATAAGAAGGATATTGACATGCTGGAATGCGTGAGGAGGAGGGCGACCAAGGTGCTAACTGGTCTGGAAGCCATTATGAGGAACAGTTTAGCTTGGAAAAGAGGAAACTAAGAGGAGATAGCCATCTTAAAATATCTATAGTGCTGTCACATGGAAGATGGAGCAAGCTTGTTTTCTCCTTCTCTAGAGGGTAGGACTCAAACCAGTGAATTCAAGTTACAAAAAAGGAGATTGTGACTAAGCACCAGGAAGAACTTTCTGACAGTAAGAGCTGTTTCACGGTGGAACGGACTCCCTCGGGAGGTTGTGGGCTCTTCTTCACTGGAGGTTTTTAAGCAGAGGTTGGATGGCCATCTGTCATGGATGCTCTAGTTGATATTCCTGCATTGCAGGGGGTTGGACCTTTGGGTCACTTCCAACTGTACAATTCTGTGATTGCCGAAGTCTTTTATCCTGGATGCCTGCCTTTCCTTCCCCTTTTAATTGTTTTGCCAAGCATGTGAAGCTGAATGCACACAAGTTAAATGTGAGTAAGTTGCAGGCTGCATCCATAAAAGGGATGGCCTAGGAAGTTGGCAGACTCAGAAATCCCATCTCTGCCTCCCCAGGGATAGGCCAGTTCCCTTGGGTGCACAAGCACCATGAGAAAATAAAATGTGTGTCAAATTCATTAGCAGGTGTTGCTATTTATCAAGGGTATGTGTGCTAATATCAATGGAATGGTTAGGGCTGCACCAGAATAAAGCACAGTTCCCACAGTACAGGGTTTCAAAAGAGCCATCAGATAATACTGTTTGATAAAGTGTATATAGCAGTGCAGCTTTACTAGACGCACATGCATAGACTCAGACTGTATATCAGTTGCACTGATAACTTAATATGCAAATGCATAATACAATATCAATGCACTTTTCTCTCTTTTCATGGTGAAACAGCTTGAAATGTAAGTGTGGCTATCCAACACTATAAATGGACTGGTTCAGTTCCATGAGAGTGGGAATAAATGTCCCTTCAAGCAGGTATGGGCAGAACATAGCTCTGTGGTTGAACACATGGCATTTAGAAAGTCAATCACTGGCATCTCGATGTCAAGTGATCAGGTGTTGGGTGGTGGGAGCTATTTGCCTGAAGCATTACATTGCTGCTGCTAATCAGAGTACATAGCACAGGGCTAGAATTTATTTTGACTTTATGTAAGGCAGCTGTGGGACGCAGGTGGCGCTATGGGTAAAACCTCAGTGCCTAGGACTTGCCGATCGCATGGTCGGCGGTTCGAATCCCCGTGGCGGGGTGAGCTCCCGTCTTTCGGTCCCAGCTCCTGCCCATCTAGCAGTTCGAAAGCACCCCCAAGTGCAAGTAGATAAATAGGTACCGCTTTATAGCGGGAAGGTAAACGGCGTTTCCGTGTGCTGCGCTGGTGCCGGTTCTCCAGAGCAGCTTCGTCACGCTGGCCACGTGACCCGGAAGTGTCTCCGGACAGCGCTGGCCCCCGGGGTTTCCGCAACCAGAGGTGCCTGTTCTGCGCACGTACACAGCGTGATAGAGTGCTTCTGCGCATGCGTGAGCGGCGAAACCCGGAAGAATACTTCCGGGTTTGCTGCTTTCGTAACCTGAAGTTTACGTTACCCGAGGGTACGGTAAGCCGAGGTTCTGCTGTACTCACAAAAATGGTGAATTTTTGTACTTGTAGCCTGCCTTTCAGCCCTCTGGGACCTTCAGGGCTACTCACTAGATTTGACACTGCTTGGGGATGAGGATCTCTCTTCTTTAAATCCTTCCCTGATTTCCTTTTGTTATACTTTAAGATTTACTTAATCCACTGTGCTTGCATGAGAAGTTGACCTGCAGAGCTAAACTGAATACTGAATGGTTTACTTTGCTTTGTTGGCTTCTTAAATACACCAAACACTGGTTTAGGCTACTTGGGTACCAGTGGGAACTTCAAGTGTTCTGTAGTTTTGAATTTCATCTTTAAATTTTAAATTGCTTAACTTCAGGTTTCTTCCTTCAGAATACTTGTTGTAAGTGTCTAGTCTGGCAGCAACATTAACATCTCCCAACTCAAATTCAGAGGCATTGTTTTCAACCTTGAAAGCACCTTGCTTTTTTTGTGCTGCCACCTGCAAGTAATAAATGACTCTGTGCCTCTGAAAGAGAGCCGAGAGATGGGGAGTTTCTTTTGGCAGCATTTAATGAAGTGAGTCTTTTTGAGCTTTTAGAGGACAATGAAATGTAGCTGTCATTGTGTGTCTATCCAGTAGACCATCCTAGAAGCTAAAGAGATCACAGACCCACAAGATGAAGGCTAAATGCAACAATATCATCTGATTCATGGCTGCCCTCCTTCTTTATTACTTTATGGAAGTCTTTAAGTTTTTTGTTTCGCTTCCTTCCTTGTTTAATGATGCTGTGGAAGGGTCATGTTTAGCTAGATTGGTTTGTAGACTTTTTCCCTACATGGTTTTCTTGTTACAAATGTCCTGATTAGGAGAGCAAAACGTGACTGTTTCGTCATTCCCTCCTGAGATAAGAGGGCTAAAATATTTATGTATAAATACTTAGCACACCTATGCATGCACATACAATTTCTGGCACTCCCCTACCAATTGACATGTGGGGTACATAACAAAACTATAATGAAAAAGGAACCTTTGCCAGATTGCTTTATGACACACAGAGAGCAAGAAACTGTGCATTTAGAATTATAACATTCTGCTATTCTTTTTCAGGTAAATTTGCTGAAGACATATTTGGAGAGCTTTTTACTCAGGCAAACACCTTTGCCTTTCGTGTAAGCTCTCTAGCCGAGAGAGTTGACCGCCTTCAGATCAAAGTTACTCAGCTGGATCCCAAGGAGGAGGAAGGTAATGGTGCAAAATTGATACACTTTTAGGCCAACTACGCTAAATTGCCATAGCAGCAGCTGTGAAATGCTTGTGGACTTGGAATGAACTTGACACCTGCAGACTGTCAGAGTGTGGTCAGCTAACTTGCTTATTGCCCCATGGATGTGTGTGTCACTTGGTAGTAATGGCAAAAGTGAGGACCTCTTGCTCCCCTGCTCTGCAGATTTAGGGACACACATGCATAAGCCTGATACAGCAGCAGGCACCTTTTTCTTCTTGCAGCTCCCTCCAAAGAGCTTCTGTCCTCTCCTCTTAAGTTACACTGTTTAGTTGTTCCTGCAGGCTATGAAAGTTAGCTGCAGGGATTTTGGAGAAAGCTGAAATTGGAGTTCATGAGGCTTAATGAAGCAAAAATACAATCTGTAAGGATTCTGAGCTTTATTGGCCTCCAGAGATTTTTAGAAGGTGGTAGTTTTTGTCAATAACCATAATTCTCAGTTGTAATAAATATGTTCCAATACTTGGCTATTTTTTGACTGGTCATTAGACGAAAGAGGGGTTTTGGTTTTTTATGGGGGTGGGTGGAGGTGAACTGGTCAAAGGCCAATTCTACTTGGAAGTTTTTCTGAATGCATATAGATCTTCTCTTTGATTAAAGGGGGTTTGTCTTTCCCCCCATGTTCTGTTTTTATGTGTATGTTTCTTTTCTTTTTAAAAAGCGTAATTTCAGGGGATGCTGTCTTGAACGCTTTATTGATGTGGCAGAAGGATCCCATGTTGTGACAGCAGAGAGTATTGAGAACTATAACTGGGCAAACATTGGCTTAGGTTGTGTTTGAAGTGGCTTTATTTTCCTTATTCTTTCATTTCTCTCCTCTTAGTGTCTCTGCAAGGTATTAACACCAGGAAAGCCTTCAAAAGCTCCACAACTCAGGACCAAAAGCTCTTTGACAGAGACTCTCTCCCCGTGCCTGTCCTTGAAACTTATGGCGTTTGTAATATGCCTCCACCTCTTAATATCCTCTCATCCTACAGGTAATGCACCTTATGCTTCTAGCTAAGTGGGGAGACTGCCCATTCAGTTGAGAAGGTAATGGACCTGCTCTGAAAAGACTGTGGCGTGGTCCAGCTAGCCCATAAGAAAACCTGCTGACTCACCAAGGGGCCAGCGGACCTTCCTTACAAAGGCTAAAATGTCTTGGCCTTTTTAGTTGAGAGAAAAGTTGATGAGAGTGGAGGGCAAAGACCACACAATACAGATTTGTAACATTAATGGGGAAACATTTTCTGCTACAGTACTAGAACACTCAGTTGAAATTAGGAACTGGTTTTGAAAAAAGAAGAAGCACTACTTCACACAGCATGCAGTTGACTTCTGCATCACTCCCACAGTAACTGGTGATGCCTTCTAGTCTTAGAAAACTGTTAAAAAGCAGTAAACAGATCTGTGTAATATAGGGCCCATCTGTGGTGGGTAGCCATGATATGTAAATGAAACTCCCATGTTCAGAGCCTGCCTAGCCTGAGTGTGCTGGAGGTGTGCTGTGCATATGAGACTCTAGAGCCAGCTAGCCAGTCGCTGCTCAACTAAGTGAGTCTTTGCTGCAATTCAGCAAGATGGTTCTTAACATTGCCTGCTCTGCATTGGAGGGATGTCTAATGCCATGAGCCTGCAGACTGGATTTCCTTTAGCCAAACGGCTCAAGGGCCATATTTCTCCACCCGCGGCAGTAGCATAATTTCATGCTCCTTCTGCACACCCTTGCCAGATCAAGCATTTGACGGAACAGCATGTGCAAGGTGGAGAGTCAGAACAGGAGGGTTGCATGGTACATCCCTACCTTGCAAGTGCCCCTTCCAGTGGGAAATAAGCTGCCCCTGCCAACGGAGGCCTTTTGCTTTCAAACGCAGGATATGTCTGTCCATGAGGTCTACACTGGGCATGGGGAAGTGCTTACCTAGCAGCTCCCTATATTATTTCCTGATGTGTTTTCCAATGTGCTATGGGGAGAGGCTGCTATTTAGTGGTAGTGCTCACACTTTCCATGCAGAAGGATCCAGGTTCAATCCCTGGCATCACTAGGTAGAGCTGGACTCTGGCCTGAAACCACGGAGAACCACTGCCAGTCAGTGTAGACATTATGGAGCTAGATGGCAGGGGTCTTATGTGGCCTGGAGGCCTCCATTCAGCTCTCCCTCCTACTGAGGTTATTTGTAACTTCCCTTTTGGGAATTTTGAGAATTGATGTGCTTTGAAAAACAGTTCGGTGCTTTGTGGTATAGATTTGTAGTCATAGCAGTAAATAAGTTTCTGTGGTGGCAAGCCTAGCATATAACTTTGGTGTTTGTTCATACAAGCTCTTTTGTGTAATCTTGCTGTTCCTTTCTTACTCCCTTTGTGCAATTTGCAGTGCATACATTTGCACGTATTATTGCCTGAAGTGGGTGCAGTCAGTTCTTCTGAAAAGTGTGATTGTCTGTTGGTCCTTTTGCATCTCCAGAGACTGATACATCCTAAAGGAGAATGTGCCAGTGATACCAGACAGCTTTTCTTTGCTTGCTATCTAATTATGTCATGTCATCTTGTGAAGGTAGTACACATGGTGCAATCGGAATGGGATCAGGGTTAAGAAAACACATATTTACTCAGTCCCCATCAACAAATATCTTTTGAATAGGTAAAAAGTAATTACTGATAGCTGGAGGCAGCTGTCTTTGAGATGCGACTGCACTGCAGTGGAGGTGTGTGGCTGTGAGCTAGTGACTGAGAACCTGTTTCCTCTCCATGATCAGGGACTTTGGGGTGTCCCATCCCCAGACTCTACAGTTTAAACAGGTGTCTTGCTTCTTTCAGGAGCAGCCCGATGGGCGGAGTATAAATAATAAATTATTATTATTATTCCTTCTCAGCCTACTTATTAGAGCAGAGAATCTCTGCTCATCTTAGGGTGGGTGGGAAGAGTAGAGAAAGAAACCCACCTAATACTTAACACCAGTTTTAATATACTTTCAGGTGTGGCCTCTTCCACTTTTCCCCTCCTCTTCCTTGCTTGTCTTAGAAACTTAGAAGCTGTCACCCCAAGTTTGGAGGACTTGCAGCCTCTTATCAGCCCCACACTTACTGAGCTGCAGCCCATCTTGTCTGATTGGACTACTTGTGAGAAAGCAACCAGTTTAGACTCTTTCCCACATGGGAGTCGTAGTCCAACAACATCTGAGAGGGCAACAGGTTCTCTAACCCTGATGAATACTGTGAAAAATTGCCTTCTGCACCTGGAAGGCACAGCAGGTGCCCTAGCTAGTGCAGGATGGGATGGAAAGATTCAATCTTCTTCCACCTGCCCCAGACGGTTTTTAAAAAAGAGGTCGGGGGATGTTTTCATTCTTGGACCACAGCGTTTGCATCTGAAATTTGGTGCATCTTAGTTGGGCTTTAGGTAAACATTTGACTATCTTGTGGTGAGTCAGTCTCTCTCTCTCTCCCCCACCCCCTCCTAGGGATGACGGCAAAGAAGCACTTAAATTCTATACAGATCCGTCATATTTCTTTGATCTTTGGAAGGAGAAAATGCTGCAGGACACGAAGGATATCATGAAAGAGAAGCGGAAGCATAGGGTAAGATGAAGGGTATCTTTTGCTCTTTGTGGGTTTTTTATCCCTTAAACAGGGAAAGGCAAGATATAAGATATTGCCACTGTCTGAATCCAGGCAGCCCTTTTTTGAAGTGGACATGAACACACAACAGGGTTGGTTCTTTTTATTTCAGTTTAAGTAGATAAAGTGGAATCAAAACTGCATCATTGGGTGTTTGTGCTGCGACAAGTCATGCCATTTATTTACCTGTGGAGATAAAATTTAGAGGCTCTTCACAAATTCCAGTGTGGTGTTAACATCTCTTCATTGAATATAGTGAGATTTGCATCAGAGTAAACACAAATACATAGGATTGGACTACAGAAAAATCTGGCTTTTGTACTTATTTGTTGTAACTCATCAAGGCTGTCTTTAACATTCTGGAAAATAGTTAAGTGCATTAGGAACATTTTCCTTCCTTTCCTCTGCAGTGTGTCAGTTGTGTTGGGATTGTGCTCAGATGAAGCTTTCCAAAACTAACCCCTTTTCCCCTGATCTGAGGCCTGCAATCCCGGGGGGGGGGGGGGATAAAGGGGAAGGACTGAAGCCCCACTTATTTTCCAAAATGTCCATGGCAGAGTGGCAGGGCGGGGAGAGAAGGCAAATGGGCTCCAACACAATATGCTAAAAGGTGTTTTCTCTGAACCAAATTTTCACACTCCCTCTCCTTGATCTCTTCTGAGGCAAAGGGAGCCATGCTTCTCTTTTGCTTTGAAAGGGATTGTGGCTCTCCAGATTGTGATTTTATGGCACGTGCATGAAGGTAAAGGTAAAGGGACCTCTGATGGTTAGGTCCAGTCGTGGACAACTCTGGGGTTGCGGCGCTCATCTCACTTTACTGGCCGAGGGAGCCAGTGTACAGCTTCCAGGTCATGTGGCCAGCATGACTAAGCCGCTTCTGGCAAACCAGAGCAGCACACGAAAACGCTGTTTACCTTCCCGCCGGAGTGGTACCTATTTATCTACTTGCACTTTGACGTGCTTTTGAACTGCTAGGTTGGCAGGAGCACGTGCATAGTTGCAGACAATTCAGTATAGAAGGAGTTTTTTGAAGGTAAGAAGTGAACACTATTGGTCTCTTTCACCTGAGTTGCAGGCAGAGCCTTTTGGGAGCTGGGACACAAGGTATGGCATACTAGTAGTTTCTCCTATGTCCTATGAAGTCTAGGGCGAGGGGCAGCACTTGGTCATCTTTGTGTCTTTTGTTCAACATCATTGCAAGTTATTGTGGTAACTCATAAACCTTTTTATATATTTTCTAGAAAGAAAAGAAGGATAATCCAAACAGAGGAAATGTGAACCCTCGGAAAATCAAAAGCCGGAAGGAAGAATGGGAGAAAATGAAAATGGGACAGGAGTTTGTTGAGTCGAGGGAAAAACTTGGACCAGGAGGGTAAGAGCTTATTCAGCAAATGGTCTGCTTGGTTGATCTGAATATGATCCACATCTGCTGTTCCTTTGGTTTTACATTTCAATGCCACTCTTATTGTGGCTTTTACATTCTACCAGTAATCTATTTGGTGATGAGGTTTTATAACAAGTCCAGGAGTGAAACGTTTGTCATAAGTTTGCAACTTGCTGCATGTGTGGGGTGCTTAGGGGAGGTTACTTAAAATTGGCTGAGAGTCTTTAACGAAGTGTTTTCAGAATTGGATTATCCTTGGGCTGGCTTCAGTGCAAGCACAGCAGAAGTGCAAAAAACAAAAATGCAAGGAGCTTGAGGTTTCCATTTCTTGAACAGCAGCCCTGTGTAACATGGCAGCCCACGTGGAAACTGGAGGGGCTCTCTGGCTGCTTGTGATCTGGCACAGAGGTGGTCTGTTGCTCAAAGCAAAGTCAAGATTCGTATTGAGCATGACCCACCCATAGGCATGCCTGAAGCAGCTTTTCAGATCCCAGCCCAAGTCAGTTTTCTGTATCTCTGGTACAGAAGTTCAAGGGCTTGGAAGCTGATTTCCCCACTTCTCAGATCTTCTTGATTTTGATAGCTGTGTGCAGGAGTCCTGTCTCATTCTGCTTTCACAAAACCCTCTTCCACTCCCAAATACTGCATGTTTATTGATTTGCATAATTCTGAAATGGGATAAAACGAAGAGGAAAATGAGCAGCTTTGTAATAGATGTTAAGTACATGATAGTGGGTGCATGTAACTGCATGCTATACAGCCTGATGGATCATCTTAAGGTAATAGCTGCTGAACTTGCATACTGGTGCTTGGAGCCATTGCAAGTGGTAATAGGGACTGAGGTAGCTGCTCCTGGTATGACTTACTGGAATTAAGGTCAGAGCATGCTCTCCAAGCTGGCCATTCTTCATGAGGAACACAGCCATTTATAAGAAGAGAATTCTCCCTGCAGAATCCAAATTGAAGGTACTTTCTTCACTCTAACTTGGCCACAAGCTGTGTGTTCCTGTTTGGCCCACTCATGACTGTAGAGGTGGCACTTCGGACATGGCGTTCTGGCATTCAGAACAATTCCCAGCTGGTTAGCTTGGCAGCATTCTAGGCGGTAGCTTTCTACCCGGAGAGATAAGCACACAAGATGATTCTGGCTCTTTCTGATACTCTCTTAACAGAGAAGGGAGGGATCAGAAATGGAACCGTTTAGTAGCCTTTCTCCTTTTAGTTGAATCAGAGATTTAATGGAACTGTCCATTTCAAGGTTGAATGCCACAGCAGGTGGGGAGAAGATGGCAGGGACCAGGTTTAATGGCCACTTCCCCTATAAAAGAATGTGGCCTTCTGTTTTAGACCCATGTAGTATGAAGCTTCCACCCATTTTGCATTTTCCAAGCCTTCCTTTTAGGAAAAGAAACCCTCATTTTTCTTCCATACCACTTTCTTGTTTGTGGATTTTGCTTTTAGCTCTTGCCTTAGTTTCCACGGAATTTCATAATCATAGTCTGAAGAACACCATTCCTGCCCTTTAAGTGAGTGGACTGGAAAGCTGTGTGCACTCAGGTTGTGGATACTTGTTTGTTCCTACTTGCTGTCCCTTTAAAAACATTAAAAACATAGCTTGTCTAAAGCTGCTCCTAAAATTGCAAGCATTTCTGTTGCAAAAGAGAAGCCTTTGGCTGTGCTGGAATGGAAGGATGATTGGCAAAGGTGTGCCCTTGCCTTGCCTCTTTTCCAGTGTGCCTTCTGCTGGGCCCTGATCTGAAGGTTATTAGAAAGGGCTGCCCTCACTATCACACTTTTCAGAGTCCCTCAACATGTGCCTGCTAGCCCCTGTTTTCCACACTGATGTGGTCTAGCAGTGAATTGTAAATGTCAATTAGATAACTTTAAAGGGTTTTCTTAATTGTTCAGGCAAGCAGGTGAAGCTTCAGTAACTGTGTATTTATGTCCATCACCTACAGCTGGTACCTGTCGGCTTGGAGACATATAGCAAATTTGTAAAAACAAATGGAGCCTATATCTGAATCGGGTGCAGCACTACAGACATAATGCTGGCCACACAAATGCGTGTTTGTGATTTGCCTGAGTTGGTGTGATCATGAGCAGGCTCCCAGGACTGCACTTCCCACCTTTGGCAGGAGAAGGTTGTTTGTGTGAATTATTCACCAGTGGTTTATCTTAAAGCAGTTCCTGTACTGGGCACTTCACTATTTCTAACTGAATCCAATCTGTATATGGCCTAGATCACTTTCAAATGTGCAGGTAGGGACAGTTGGAGCTCCTAAAAATTGGTGGTCCTTTGGAGAGGACTTCCCAAATGTTCAGAACACACATCGCAAATACATGTATGCACATATATTCCTTTCTAGCTCCTCCTGCCTGGAAAAAGTATGGAATATGCAGCCCCACCTCACTCTATGAAGATCTGATGCAAGGAGAGCAATCTGGGGAGCTGGAGAGTCCCCTCTATACCAGTGTTAGAAACTGAGATATGAAAGCTAGGTGCTAAATGGCACATTTAAGATAGGTTATGGGTGCAACAACAGAATGTCTGTTGTTGTTGTTGTCGTTTAGTCGTGTCTGACTCTTCGTGACCCCATGGACCAGAGCACACCAGGCACTCCTGTCTTCCACTGCCTCCTGCAGTTTGGTCAAACTCACGTTGGTAGTTTCGAGAACACTGTCCAACCGTCTTGTCCTCTGTCGTCCCCTTCTCCTTGTCCCCTCAATCTTTCCCAGCATCAGGGTCTTTTCCAGGGAGTCTTCTCTTCTCATGATGTGGCCAAAGTATTGGAGCCTCAGCTTCAGGATCTGTCCTTCCAGTGAGCACTCAGGGCTGATTTCCTTCAGAATGGATAGGTTTGATCTTCTTGCAGTCCATGGGACTCTCAAGAGTCTCCTCCAGCACCGTAATTCAAAAGCATCAATTCTTCGGTGATCAGCCTTCTTTATGGTCCAGCTCTCACTTCCATACATCACTACTGGGGAAACCATGGCTTTAACTATACGGACCTTTGACGGCAAGGTGGTGTCTCTGCTAGACAGAATGTCTAGGCACGATTTTTTTTATAACAAGAATACAAAGATGAAAATGAATAAACTGCAGCTAAAATCTTATGTTCATTTTTCACATGGTCTAGTCCTTCTCCCCTCCCGTCTAATATTCTTAAGAGGGGCTCTTCTTCAGTCTTCAAAGAGTAGCTGGAAGTGGAGAGGCAGAAAAAGGTCCTCCTTTCCTTCTACTCTGCAGTTTTAATCTGAAATCTTAAGCGCAGTACTGTGCCTAGAGCTTAGAAACTGCTCGCGCTAATGAAATTCCCTGTCACAAAATGCACCTAGAACAATGTGAGTTTCGAACACTGCTGCATACTAATCCCATGCCAGTCTATTTCACCCACTGTTTCAATTTTGTGCAAAGGCTGTAAATTGTTCATGGCTGAAGATATGCAGCAACTTATTTGCGTAAAGTTATTGCGGTCATTATCCTCTTAAAACAACAGTGCATACATGCACACAGTTTAAAAATACGTTTTCTTCACAACCACAATTTAAATAATTTACTCTAAAAGAAAATATGAACTTTTTTTTGTAAAAGGTTTGTGAAAAGTTCCCTGTCTACCCCCTCTCTTCCAAATAAAAGCTTTATTTCAGTATTATATGCAATATCTCATTCTAATGAGTCAAATTTATATGTGGTGGTTTCCTTTTTTAAAGCCATAATCTTTATTGAAATTTTAACAATACATAATGAAAACAAAATAGACGAATATAAAATGTTGACTAAGCAAAAGAACCGAACAGTGGGAATGTGCGTAAACACAGCTCATAGAACATGCAGTTGTAACAGTAGGGGACACAACTTGTATTTTAATTTTGTTTAATTAATAAACTCCATTCTCTTGCTGCTTCCCGTGTGATCTCATAATGTTCCCCAGCTGCAGCTGCCCTGCCTTGCACACATTAGCAGGAGAGTCATTGGGATTGAAAGTCTTTTGACGGGGGCTGTTCTCTGACTCTTCATGGGCACACAGCACCACTCTGGTACTGAAAATGGTAGCCTCTTACTAGACTTTCAGTCCAAATGAGCTGGCAAGATGCTACAGTTTTCAGTACCAGAGTGGTTCTGATCTTCATGGCATTGTTTGTATTTCTTCCTGACTTGAATGTTCTGGAAGTATTATTTACTTGGGGTCCATTGAAGCCTTGGAAGGGAAGGGTTTTTTTATCTGATGTAGTCCATCTTGTCCATTTGCTGATTTTTAGATACCCGTCTAATATGGTCTATCAGAATGGTAGCATTGGTTCCAATGAGAGTGTTGATGCCAACTACTACCCCCCGCCTCCGCAGCCAGATTCACCACCGCCTCCTTTGTTCACAGAGGACAGTCTTCCACCACCACCAATGGAATTTAGGTAAGCACCACTGAAAGACTACAATCAATGGAATGAAAGAAGCAAGCTGTTTTGCTTTTCCATAAAACAAGTGTTTCCAATAAGACCACAGTGAGCCTGTCATATAAACCCCATCCATGAAGCTTGTAGTGGTAGCTTGGGAGGAGAAGTGCCCATTATTGTTTTTTAAGCAATCCACAAAACACCTCACAAACAAGGGTGCTGCCTCGTGGTTTCTTGCCAGATACTGCTTAGGGTTGTGTTGCGCAGCACATTTACCCTTCATGGAGAGATCAGATTTCCTCCATGTTAGACTGCTATGCGCAGCCCAAGTGTCTTGCCATGATTGCCCATGACTGTCAGCCACTGTGAATCCAATTGGTGAGGAAAGCTGTAGTTACTCTCCAGACTGGGGAAGCGTTTTACTAAGAGGGAAAGTATACTACTACTTAGGGGAGGTATGTGGAGGAGGGGGGGAGTTTAGGTGAGAATTCACATACAGTGGTACCTCGTCTAGTGTCTGCCTCGTCGAGTGTCCGCGGCAAACCCAGAAGTACCGGAATGGGTTACTTCCAGGTTTGCCACTCGTGCATGCGCAGAAGTGCAAACTGCTCTGCGCACGTGCGCAAACGCAGCACTTTGTCCAGCGTCCTTTTCTGCCCAGCAACCCGGGCTCCGGAACAGATCCCGGTCGCAAAACGAGATACAGTACTGTATTACTTTTCGTTACCACGAGGGCTTCAAACTTTAACTTACCTGAAAATCGATGTCTCTGTCATCCTGACATTCCTATGCAATTTTGTGTTAATGTTCCATATTCCTAAATCAAGTTCCGATAGGTTTCCTTCCCTCTTCAGGGTTGCTTTAAGAGTGGTTCCTGTAGCTGGAAAATGCTATTGTGGAATGATGGGATTCCAAGGTACCAGCATTTTCTGGAGCTGGATTTAAAACAAACAAACAAACAAACACACACCCTGGCAACAAGAATTTTTAATCTTTTGAGCAAGCTGTGCTCAAATACTTTCACATGTGTGCATGTGTTGGAATACTTTCCAAAGTCAGCCGTTGGATGCTAAACAGAATATTGGAACATAACCCCCAAACTCCTGGATCTCTTAGCCAAGAGTGATCTAATAAATGAAGCAAGTTACTATCAGGAAAACCTGAGAAATAGTGCTTACCCTTTTCCAGTTTATTATATTTGCAAAACTCATGGGACATTTTCCCCCCTGTCTCCCTCCCAAATCTCTACTTTCAACAGCTATCCAGCACAAAACCAGAGTGGTTCCGGAGGGCTGAGAAAACCCAGCCTGGTCAGCCCAAGCCACCCTCCACCAGCTCCACCTATTGGCTCGCCACAGGGTGCCAGGCCAGGATTTGCACCACCTCCTGCACCGCCGCCACCACCGCCGATGATTGGTGTTCCTCCACCGCCTCCACTGTCAGGCTTTCCAACTGCAGGCATCCCACCTCCACCATCTCCACCCTCATTCCCACCTCACCCCGATTTTGCTGCCCCTCCTCCTCCACCACCTCCAGCAGCAGAATACGCTGCTGTGCCTCCACCCCTGGTACCCCCGCCAACAGGAGGTGCACCGCCCCCTCCTCCGCCCCCACCCCCTCCTGGCCCACCTCCATCGTCTTTTGGCGGCATGGATGGGCCAGAAACCCATCTTCCACAACCAGATTCGGGATCATCCAAGGCCAAGTCCTCATTGCCTGCTGTTAGTGAGGCTAGGAGCGACTTGCTTTCTGCTATCCGTCAAGGTAAGTCTCTTCTCATTTTGCATATCCTAAGTTTTAATGCCTGAAACAAGACCAATGGATTGAGAACTTGGAGTCCTCCAGGTGTTTTAGAGCGCCCATCAGCCTCAGCCAGCATGCCTAGTGGTCAGGGATTATGAGAGTTGTGGTCCTGCAATGTCTGGACTAGACATTTCACGTGTGTGTGTATTTTGGTGGGTCTTACTGGAGCTGCTAGATGCCTAGTCATTTAGCAAATGTGTACTGGGAATACTTGCAACAAACGTTCCTTTTTCACTGCAGTGAGGGCATCCTCTTTGAACCTTTGCAATTTAGCCTGTTTGTAACTGCCTATCACGTGTCCTAAGCTGAGAAAGCAGTGAAAGAGCCACACTTTTTTACTCTCGTTTCCTTATTACTCATTTGAATTCTTCACTGCCAGTGAACCAAATTGGTTCAGACTATAGCTGTAGCGGAATATTAGGACCAGTTGAAACTTTAAAAACTGCAAGTCTAAGTAACTGCTGGTTTTTGTCTTTTCAAAGGCTGATTGTTGCTGCTTTATCCCAGTATGCTTTACTTCAACCTGAGATCCTTTGCTCTTAACATAATTAGTCTTCAATAAGCTTTCTGCACCACAGTCTTCAGATGATCATGTATTAGGCCCCTGCTAAGTCCTGCACCAGCAACATTTGTTTTTTAAAAAATCATCTCTCTTGAGATCTAGCTTGTTTTTGTTTGTTTGTTTTCAGTTGGCCCTAATAAAGCTATTTCATATTACTCCCATGTCTGCCCCTCCCCCGACACTGAGCAGCCCTTATGGGGCAGTCCCACAACATTACCAAAGACCACTGTTCCTGGAAGGACCACCTCTAACCTTTTCTTTCCTCCCTTGATAGGATTCCAGCTCCGTAAAGTAGAAGAGGAGCGTGAACAAGAGAAGCGAGAAGTTGTGGGCAATGATGTGGCAACCATCCTCGCCCGCCGCATCGCAGTGGAATACAGCGATTCCGAGGATGATTCTTCAGAGTTTGATGAGGACGACTGGTCCGATTAAACACCAGCCCACCATTTGGGGGTGGGGGGAGTGGGTTTGAGAGAAAACTTATATAACTTCTGAGATTGCCAAAACCATTTCCCCCTTATTTTTCTCTCTCATCCAGTAACCAAAGATCAATGTGCCCAACTTCCAAGTAACTACCAGCCTCTTTCCATTGTTGGGATTTGTGCCTCCTTCCAGCAAGAAGGAAACTGAAACTAACCCCAGATCTCCATATTCTCAGGGTCCTAATCAAAAAAATCTGCTCTCTTGGGGTTGGGAGATAATTTCGTAAAAACAAAGCAAAAGAACATTGCCTGTCCTGTTGTAGTCAGTATGTGTTGGTTAAAATGATGGGCATCTTGAAGGGCAATAAAACTTCCAGGCGATGCTCTTCCGCTTTACAGCTTTACAGTGTGCATTGGAAATACTCTGCAAGCAGCCGGTGATTTGCCTTATCCAGTCAAATCGGATTTGAATTTCTATTCCCAACCCATCCCATCAACAATCTCCAGTATGCTCAATTCAAAATGTAAAGCCCAATGTTCATGAGAGTTGCACTATATACAGAACAGTTACTCTCCCCCCCCCCAAAAAAAACCCTCCTGTTTCGACAGTCTGAGGTGTGACCCAGAGGTCATAGATCCTTTTTGCCCAGTTCCATATTGCCAAGCTGGTTTCACTAATGATAGAATTAGTACCTGCTACATGGGCAATAACTTTCTGCCCTGTTCCCCAAATAGAAAGCAATAAGCACTGGGCATGATTTTGTTTTGCAGACAATATAGCTGCATCATCTTGGTCTGTTGGGGGCCAAAAGTGGAGCAGATTGGTTGCACATCCGTTTCAAAATTATGAGACTCTAACATCCTATATTAGAGGCTGAGCAGCAGCAATTTCAAGCCATTGGCCCAAGCTCTCTGTCTCTTCAGGCATCACATGGGGACTTTGAGGATTAAAAAGTTGGTCATCTCTATCTGCCTAGTCTGCTTCACTAGCTTGCTTTAATCCTTCAGCAGTTAGTTCCAAGGTCTATAGCAGCAGCTTTAGATCCCCTTACCTCTTTTTAGACAGGTGCCTTTTTACATTAGCTTTTCTGGGTCAAGAGCTCTGGATACATTAGCTTCTCTGGGTCAGTTAGCTCCCTTGGCTAAGAGCTGGTGTGCAGAAGGTCCTTAAATTTATCTGGGGATCCTGGTTACTGGAATAATGACAGCCACTCCCATAATGAGGGTGCTTGTTCTGGGTGCTAATTGGGAGCTCTCCTTTTTTTAACCTGTTTGAAATTCTTTACCTTTCCACATTCCTCTCCTCCTTTTTCACACTGTGACATGCCTTGTAACAGCTTTCGTACACCAAAGGAAAGGTGTCATCTTGTTTCTTTCTGTCTCATGCTTCCAACCCTTTATTACATGTCCTTTTTTTTAAGGGTGTCTGATGCCAGAGCTTAGTGTTTTGTTTTAGCCAAGGGACCAAAGTATTAAAAGCAGGCACAAATTTGTTTCGGACTGAACTCAGAGTCCCAGCGAGGGAGCGGGGAGAATTTGTATCTAAACTACACTATGAGGTTCCTTCAGACATTCCCTGATGGAAGGCTGGTGCTTTTTGCTTTTGGTGCAGAGCTGCTTTAAGCATTATGTTTCCATTGTCTTGATAAAAAGGAGACAATAGGCTCTTCACTGGTGGCTTAGCACTCAGTGTTAGAACACAGGATATTTGTATCATAAAAAGGCAGGGGGGAGACAGGGTGCGGCTTTCACATAGACCATGCATCCTGGAAGCTGCTGTGTCTGCTGTGATTTGGAACACTGAGTTTCTTGTTCAGGCACCAAGATCAGCAGCTGGCTTATAATGTCTGTTGTATAATGTGCCTTGCAGTTCTTCCCAGTCTTTGCTCTCAAAATCTATGCAACAGAACCTGCAGCTTTGCACTAGCATAACTATTTAGAGATGGCATTTGTGTGTCTGGTTTTCTGTCTAAGGCAGTGTTAGCCAAACTTGGCCCTCTAGCTGTTTTGGGACTACAACTCCCATCATCCCTGACCACTGGTCCTGTTAGCTAGGGAACAAGTAATACTCTCTGCAAAGCCTAGTGTACACATTAAGGATCACTAAAAATGGGCTGGTTATTCATGGACTTTCTACGCCCATTATTTTGTAATCAGGTCAATGGTAGTTAGCGTGGCAGTCCACCCCACCCCACCCAGTGGCTGGTTGCACACTGTCTAGCAGCTTGAAGTTTGTAATCGCGTGAACAGAAATAGGAGTAGTGGCCATCCTTAATTGTGCAGAATAAACGTGAACTTCTCAGCATGCGCTTGGACTTCTAAAGGTTTTATAGTGGTGATGATAACTTTCTGCAGTCTTCAGATGTGGATATAACATATGCACAAAGCAATTCATTTTAAGAGTTGAAAAATAAGTTACCTGTAACCAGTGCTATTTTTCTAGAAAAAGAGGTACCGGAACTCACCATGAACACCTCCCTTGTTCTCTTATAATGCCAGTGGCGCCCACCTGAGAGGTGCTGGAACTGAGTTCCAGTGAGTTCCAACTGGGAAAAAAGTCATGCCTGTAACTCAGGTTCTCCCTGCTAAATCTGTGTCTGCTGCTTCCCTTTGAAATGGGCAGCATGATGCATTGGAGAATGACATGCAGCCAATGGGGGTTTAAGATGAACGGTTTAAAATAAGAGATTGTTTGACAAGATTGTATCATTGGGGCTTGTGAACCTCTGGCTGCAGCCGTGTAATGGGGGCTGTCAAAATACTGAACAGCCTGCCCCATTTTTGCAGTAGAAACAGGTATCAGGCTTTCTAAAACAAATCACGCTGTCTCCTCTTGAAACATCTGCTAGTGTGTGCTGGTAACCAAAATGGAAACAAGATGTGTGTCCGGGATGGTTTCCATCAGTCAGTTGGCTTTTTTTAAAGCTATTTTGACTGTAGAATCACTTGTCTATCATGGGTGTTGTGTGGTTTCTGTTGATTGGTTTTTAACCCCTTCTTGAGGGTTCTTAAATTTTACTTAGCAGTCTTCTAGAGTAGAGTGATAGGGAACAGCCATTGTTCAGTTAAGTGAAGGGGGGGAGCAAATTTCTTGAAAACCCTTATGCTTGAGCCTTTTTAGGCCCCAGGACTCTTAAGCACATCCAATAGAACTGTGGTACCACCCATTGCATTCTGCAGAAAGCTTGCCAGTTACTCTGCCCCCTTCTCTTTTACTTCACAGCACATTTCCGAGTCAGTCCTTTTTCAAGCTCTTTAAGCCTTTGCTTTTAAAGTGCTCTTTCTCTTCTTCCTTGGCTCCAGTTTTCGACCACAGCCACCTGGGATGCAGAGTGTTCGGTCTTAAACCTCTTCTACAGCCAATGAATTTCCGCTTCTTTCCTTGCTTCTCCATCACCGCTGACCAAACCCAAGGAGAAAGACCCTTGAATGTCCCAGAGGCCACAAGCAGCCTTTCAGTTCTCTAAAATGTGCCTCCTTTTGAACTACATGCTTGGGGAAAGGAGAGAGTGTCCTTTTTGACAAGCTGTTCATGCCTTCAGAGACTCTCAAGCTGTTCTGTGTTTGATTTTCTTTTGTATGTACCTTAAAAAAAATCTTTATAAAGTGTGGGGTGGGATAAGGGTCTGATTATATATTTTTTTTTGTATTGCCGCTTTTAACACAATTCATTTTAAATGATTTTTTAAAAACTAACCAATTTCTTTTTGTTTCCTGTCTAGGCTTTGATAAGTGCCTTATTTTGTATGACACAAATATATTTATAAGAGTAATTATTTCATGTGTATTGTTAGGGGCTCACCTAAACAAAAGATGGAATGCTGAAAGAAACCACCTTTAATTCTCCCCCTTCCCCAGTTCCCCTGGTGGATTTTACGGTAGAGAAACATCATTAGATGCGCCTTGGTATCTGTGGGTTATCAGTGGTTGGTATCGGTGGTTTCCTTCAGCAGTTATGACTGGAGTTGCTTGATTCTTACTGGGGGCAAAATATTCTTATCAGACCAAGAGTTGGTTCACATGCTTCTGAGTGGTAGGCACAATGGCTGCTGCCATGTTTTCCCAGATTGATCATCATGTATATTTTCACATGCTTATTGAATAATGAGGCATGTGGTCAGACAACCATTTTTGTTGCTGTACATGCAGAACTTACTAGATGCCCAGAAACTGGCTGTTGCCATAGATCCAGTGGTTGTGTGAACTTGCCCTTGGGTGGCGCTAAGAAAATATTGTCTGATCTTACCAGAAAATGCTATAATGAGCCCACCCTTGTTCAACACTGAGGCCAGTAACGGCTCGATGGTGAGGTGCCAAATTTTAGTTTGTCCACCTTGGGTGAGGAGGGAAGTAACATTGCTTTCCTTCATTACCTTCAAACAGAATTTGGCCCTCCTTGTTCATCTGATTATTATTTCTGCTACAGTTCTTAATCCAGACTTTTTAAATAATTGCTTTTATAAACTCTTCCAGTCTTCTCTCTCTCTCTCTTTTCTTGAGGGACTTTTTGTAATGTACATGTGATTAAAAAAAAATACTTTTTACCATGTAAACTTTAAAGAAATGATAAATTCTTTCTAGCCAATCAAAAGTTGTGTTCATATTACTTGGAAGTGGAGGGGCGGATGATACGTTTGAGGTAGGAGAAGTGTAAGATGCTTTCTCCTTCATGCTCAGTCTGAGGATTGAAAAGGCTCTTAAACTGCTGTTGTGTCTATGCAAACTAAACTTAAAAAGGAGGTCACCTTCCTCAGCCTCCCTGTGCTCATAATGCCCCAAATAAATAGCTAACCTTGTCATTTGTTTCCAGGAAATTCTATCTGTCAAAGCAAAAATGGTCTTGCCAGATCAGATCAAGACTGTCTCATGCAGCAGTTCATCTCCCAACAGTGGCCAGCCAGATACCTTGAAGTTCACGGGTAATAGCTGTGCCCTGTTTGCAATAAGAATGCACTGCCTTCAGTCACGAAAGCTCTGTTTTTGGCTTTGTCATAGCTAATGCACATTGATAAGTCTATTTTCTGCACATTTGTCTAATCCTCAGCAAAAAACAACCAACCCACATCAACCATATGTGTAGCAGAAATTCCGCTTAGCCTGGTCGGTGTCTGTAAGATTGAGGGTGGTCCAAAGCTTATTTTAGGCGGAGATACATAAAACTTCAGCTCATATGCAGGTTGTTTGTGCAACTCTGTTGAATCTGGGACTGGCACCTAGAAACAGACTTCAGTTATGCACGTTATCCTTAACACACACATCTCCCTAAAAGATTTTTAAGACGTCTGGAGTGACTCGTGAAAGAGGCCTGGACTCCGCAAGGCAAACAGAGAGAATTCTGCATTTACAGAAGAATGTCCGTAGTGGTTTCCCAAGTCCAAAATACAACTTTTCATGTTCCTTCCTTGCCCTTGTCACTGTTCCTAATAAATCCTCGCTTGCTTTTCTCTCGCTACCTGCTGCCCCAAAGTTTCAAATTAATTAGTTCTAGAAAAAATAGTGGTACAGAAGGATGCTATAGATGTGTTTTTGTTCTGTTGGTGGGTTTTGCCAGTCAGTTTGGTGTCCTTGGCCTTCTGTATTAAGTATTTTGTCATGATTAGGCACTGGCCTCGCTTAATATTTTTGTATCTTCCCCTCCCCCCCCCACAAAATAGTGTATTAAAAACAGTGGCACAAAAATGGCAAAACTATTAAATCTGTATAGCCATTGGCCATTTCAAATACCTAGAAGTTTAGAGAATGCCTGCAAGGATAAAAAGAGTTGGATGGAGACCAGGGTTTCGGTAGTGGGGAAAACTCTCACTTAAAAGGGAGTATAATTAGCTAGGCAAGATCTCCTATCTTATTCTCAACTGCTGGAGGGAGTCATCCCAGCAGCTTCTGATTTTCTCAGCCTGCACCAACTAAAGGCCACATAGCTCAAACATCTTTCTGTAATCTGAAGCAGGCATTTATCAGCATGCCAAATTTCCTGTTGGATTGTGCATTTGTGTGGAAAAGCACAGGGGGGAAATAATCATACTAAACAGCAAGCTCATTCCCAGAAGACATCTGTTTGTAGAAGAAATACCAAAAATCCTTAGGAGAAGAAACCCCCAAGACAGGAAAAACCACCCAAACAGTTCATGTGGACTGAGTGTGCTGAGTCGCCATGGAATGCAGACCGGGAGAATGGAAAACAGAATGGGGAAGGGAGCGAGAAAAAGGGGGAAATGGTTTATCCAGCAAAAGGCCAGGTCTGGAATCTTGAACAAGAGCACCCCACCATTTGTATCAAATATTTTTTAGAATATTCAGCGTCCTTGCTCACAGAAAGAAAATGGCCATTCATTTCAGGTTGATGTAACGCCATCTTCTATTTCCTTTTGCTGGAATTCTTCATCAGTATACTGCTAGGGCCATCAGGAGACGTGCCCCAGGCTGTATAGAGTATGTGGTTGCACATGGCTTCCCCTAAAGAATGCTGGGAATCGTAGTTAAGTGTGGTGGAAGCTGCAGCTCTGCAAAGAGTAAAGCCCAGCTCCCAAGGTTCTTTGGGGGTGCCATGGTCTTTGTGCAGAGCCCAACCACCCCTGAGGCAGGGTGAAGTGGCTGCCTTGGCAGCAAAAGTGCCAAGAGGCAGCTCCCCGCTGCTTCCACCCCTCTCACCAGGAACATTCCAGCACACAGTGTTGCCACTTGTGTTCTCTGCCCCTGAAGCGGAGAAGAGAAGCGTCAAGGCCTTATGGAACGCTCTCCCTCTTGCCGAGGGAGAGGTTCCAGCGTGCCACTTTGCTTCTCATCTTCCCCACCCCTAGGGTGGCAAGGATGAGCATTACAGCATCGCAGAACGCTTCGCCTCTCGCCAAGTGTATCTGCCTATGTGTATCTGTGGTCATTAGTTAACAACTTAGGTTTAGTTAGGGCTGGCAGAACCAGCAATAATTACAAGACTCACGGTGGTTTCAAGATCTAGAGAGAGTTTGGGCAGGCATCCACTTGAATATTTCTGCCTCCATGCTTGTTTTCCTCACTGGAAGTGGATTCGACACTGCAATGTTGTTGTTTTCTGTCAGCACAAATTCGGGGAGAGAAATAAGAGGGAGGTTGATCGTTAAATGTGCAAGCTGCTTCTGATTTTATCAAGCTTGCAGGGAGATGCCCTATGGTGCTCACATTTCAAACCCTAAGACTTGGGGCAGGAGTCATGAATAGGTGTACCGAAATATCTCAGTCCCTGGCCTGCCCCTTGATTCCAAAGTGCACACGGTTGAGTCATTCCAAGCTTTTTAAATTAGTTGTTAAGCTTCTCCTTGGCTTGCTGCTTAATTAAGGGGCTTAAGACATTTTGAGAACATTTGGGGAAAGAAGCAAGCTATCCTGGTTTGAAAATGAGTTGAGGAAAGAGTCTTAGTACAAGAAGCCAGGATGGTGTAGTGCAGAGGGCCAGACCCAGTAGGGAGGTCAGTGCTCCTAAGGGCCACTTTGGGGCCCCTGCCAATCACGGCAGGTGATTGTAACATGAGACATGCCCCATGTAAGATTTCTTATGTGAACCTGGACCTACAAGTCATTCCAGAGATAAAACAAACAAACCACTCGGCTAAATTCTAGGTTTTAAAGTCCTTTAAAAGCTTGGGATCAGAATACCCGAAAGATCATCTCACTGAATTGATCCCTGCTTCCTGCAGATGCCATATTATCAAGAAATCTGTTCTGCACAATGTAAGAATTGGACTTCTAGTGTGGTGGCACCAGCCTTTTGGAATTCCCTCCCCTCTGTCTCTATTGTCTTTTTGGCACCTACTGAAGACCTACTTCTAACAAGCTGGTTTGCAGCCTGTATCTGTATCGGAATTTGGTTTTAGTTATTTTGTTCCTGTACGTTTGATACCCTGAGCTCCTTTGGGAGGAAGGGCAGGAAATAATAATAGTAAAGATAGTAAATAATTTATAACCACCACCATCCCAAAAGAGAACAAGATCATGCTGAAAATGGGCAAAGGTTTGGCTTTAGAAGTTGTGGGAAGAGTAAGGTGGGGAGGACTTGTGCAATGCTGGACCACCCTTGCTTCTGCCACTTAACTCCTTTCTTCTGGAGACCCTGAGGAGGAAGCCTCACATTTTTGTTCAGAGCTTGAGATCGGGCAACTCTTTGCTGAGGTGATGGTATCTGGTGGTGATATCACAAAGTGAGCACTTTGCAGCAGAAAATGCAGGGGTTCACTCATTTGGAGAACCCCCCCCCAAATGCAGCAGTACTGCTAATATTTCACATTTAAGGTAAAGGGTAAAGGGACCTCTGACCATTAGGTCCAGTCGCGGACGACTCTGGGGTTGCGGCGCTCATCTCGCTTTACTGGCCGAGGGAGCCAGCGTACAGCTTCCGGGTCATGTGGCCAGCATGACTAAGCCGCTTCTGGCGAACCAGAGCAGCGCACGGAAACGCTGTTTACCTTCCTGCTGGAGCGGTACCTATTTATCTACTTGTACTTTGATGTGCTTTCAAACTGCTAGGTTGGCAGGAGCAGGGACCAAGCAACAGGACCTCACAACCTTCTGATCGGCAAGCCCTAGGCTCTGGTTTAACCCACAGTTTCACCCACGCTTTAAGGTAAAAGGTAAAGGTACCCCTGCCCGTACGGGCCAGTCGTGTCCGACTCTAGGGTTGTGCGCTCATCTCACTTAAGAGGCCGGGAGCCAGCGCTGTCCGAAGACACTTCCAGGTCACGTGGCCAGCGTGACGAAGCTGCATCTGGCGAGCCAGCACCAGCGCAGCACACGGAAACGCCATTTACCTTCCCGCTATAAAGCGGTACCTATTTATCTACTTGCACTTAGGGGTGCTTTCGAACTGCTAGGTGGGCAGGAGCTGGGACCGCGCTTTAGTCATGTCCAAATAGGTGTCCAAACAAGATAGTCAGAAGTTACACCCTCCCATGTGGAAAAGGGGAGTAAGATGTTAAGACCACTGAGTGGGTATTTTCTCTTCCAGCTTGCAATTCTGCAACCATATGGGTTCCCAAGATCCACTTCTGTTGGTTGGCACGTCACAGTATAGGTGTGCAAAAACATTTTCAAATACATGGGTTTTTAAAGTTAATGTATATTTCAGTTAGTTTTGATTGATTACTGCTGTTAATAGGAGCTGATTAGGATGGGTTGGTCTCTCCCCCCCAATCCCTTTTCCATTTCCCCCTTTTTATTTGCAAAAAGAAGAATAAATGCTTTCCACATTCTGAAGGAAAAGTATTACAAATTGCCATGAAAATAGGGTGGCCGTGCAAGACCATTAAACCCAGAGTCTTAACATTCCTAACTCCCATTTCTGTGTACCTAACTCCTCTCTAATTAAGGAGGAAGATTGTAATCGAAATACTTCGTGGGGAGCAGTCAGGGACTGGGGTGCTTAGCTAAATCCTGCCCTCTGCGTATGCTTGGGGCTAGAAAGTAAGCTCATCTCAGCAGTGAGCTGCATTGGTTGACTTGGAGATGGTGGTGGTGACGGCTGCTTCTGCCAGGGGCAAATCCCAGCAAGCAGAAATATCACAGCTGCGGCTTCTCCCTCAGGAGTTTGCTGCTTTCCAAGCAGAGCTGCTAGCTGGCGTGTGAAATCATTAACCACGGAAACCTCGCTTTGCAGCCTCCCTTCTCTGAAAAATTAGAAAAGGGTAGCTCTTGTCAGTTGGCAGGGCGGGAAAAAGTTTTAAAGCCAGATCAGATTCTCCTCTTAACCTGGATTGATGGGTGACTGGTTGGTGGTTTCGACTGACCAAATCAAGCTTCAGTTTATTATTGCCTGTCTGTTTAACTGATGGACAAAATCAGTGACATGGTTGAAAAACACTTTTGTTTATGGGCAAAAACTCTATATGGGTGTCTGATGATCCTAAGATTACTAGATATGATTAGTTGCCATTTTAAATCCCAAAACTGGACATCATAAAGCCATCCATCTTACATGCTGTCTGCGTGTTAACGTCAACACTGCTCTGCTTTTCTGTCCTCTCTGCACCAATTGGCTAATGGTTGCCCATTGACTCATAACTTTTCTTTAATGCACAAAAACAGGCATGGTGGATGTTGTGGACTTTCAGATGCTGCTGGGTTGCAACTCCCATCAGCTTCAGACAGTATGACAATAATTAGGATGATGGAAGCTGTAATCAAGCAGTAGCAAGGTTAGATTCTCCACCCCTGTGCTAGAGCAGGGATGGGGCACCTTTTTCAGCTCAAAGACTGCATTCCCTTTGGCAACCTTTGAAGGGCTGCACCTTTGTACAGTAGGCTAGTTTCTACATCCCTGCACCTCTGTCCGCCATCAAGAAGCATCAGCAGAGTTCAATGACACATTCCAGCCAGGCAAAAACACAGGGGCAGGGGGGAGGAAGCAAGATCAGTAAGGGAGGGGGTGGCTAAGTGAGAGTTCCAAATAGAGAAGGGCTGCTGGGCTTGAGGGTCTCCCCGCA